AAAGAGAGAAGGGAGATTGAGGAGCAAGAGAAGAAGGGTCCAGCCACCCAGCCACCCAGCCCGACATGGAATAAGAAGGAAAGAAAAGATATACAGAAATAGAGAAAGGTAAAAGCCCAGAGGCAAAAGGTAGATGGGATAATTAATTAAGAAAAGCTGGCTAGAAACAAGCCAAGTTAAGGCTGGGCACTTATAAGTGATAATAAGATTCTATGTGATTATTTGGGAGCTGAGTAGCCCCCCCCACACACAAAGAGAATGAGCCAAAAGAATAAAAAACAATTACAGTTTCATAGGTACATACGAATATATATTTTCTTATCACAAGCACATACACATATTTGTACATATGCATGCACACACAGCCTGTTTGCTTCTTTGCAACATTTTCCAACCAGTATAAAAGTATCCTACTTGGCTGGGTGGTGGTGGCGCACGCCTTTAATCCCAGCACTCGGGAGGCAGAAGCAGACGGATCTCTGTGAGTTCGAGCCGGGCTGGACCGACAGCCTCTAAAACAATACAGAGAAACCCTGTCTCGTAAAACCAAAAAAAAAAAAAAGTATCCTACTAAGGATGACAGCACCTCCCTTTCAACTCTGGGCCTCTTACCTCTGGATGACCATATGTACCACATGAATGAAATCATTTGTAAACAACATTGTAGTATTGGAACCCTTTGTTACAGCCCCTTAACCCACGTCTTATAGCGGCTATAGAATTTTTGTGAGAGAGGGTGGTTGTTCAGTGATTAAGAGCAACCAGTGTGCAGGCATGAGGACTTCAGTTCAGGTACCAGCGTCCATGTAAAAAATTCATATGTGAGCACCTATAGTGCTAGTGTTAAGGGACGGGAGAAAAGAAGTTCACTGGGGTTTGCTGACTGACAGTTATCAAATAAAGTAAAGAATGAGAGAGCCGGGAAATGCCCATCCCTGATAATTAGTTTGATGACTACCTTATATGCCATCCTAGAACCTTCATCTAGTGACTGACGGAAGCAGAAGCAGATACTCACAGCTAAACATTGAACTGAACTCCTGAAACCCAGTGACAGAGAGGGACAAATGATGAGCAAAGGGGTCTTGGACCTCCCTACTGATGACTGGGAGGCCAGTATGGGGCTCATTCAGACCCCCTGAATGTGGTTGTCAGCAAGGAGGCCTGGACAATCTATGGGGCCTTGGGCAGTAGATCAGTATTTAATCCCTGGCATACAAATGGACTTTGTGTGCCCCTCCCACAATGAGGGGTGTTCTCTCAGCCTGGAATCTTGAGGAAGGGCCTAGGCCCTGCCCTGAACGAAATGACAGACTCTGGAGATCCCCATGGAGGGCCTCACCCTTCCTGGGGAATGGAGTGGGGATTGGGTGGAGGCTGGTGGGGGGTGGGTCGGGCGGGCAGGGGATGAGCGGAGAATGAGGGAGCTGGGATTGGCAGGTAAAGCAAGCTTGTTGCTAATTTAAATAAAAAAGCGGGGTAGGGAACTATATAGAGAATTCTCAATAGAGGAGTCTAAAATGGATGAAAGACACATAAGAAAGTGCTCAACATCCTTAGCCGTCAGGGAAATGCAAATCGAAACAACTAAGATATGATCTTGCTCTTGTCAGAATGGCTAAGATCAAAAACACCAATGACAGTTTATGCTGAAGAGGATGTGGAGAAAGGGGAACACTCCTTCACTGATAGTGGGAGTGCCAATTCGTACAGCCACTTTGGAAATCAGTATGATAGTTCCTCAGGAAAATGGGAATCAGTGTACCACAGAACTTCCGCTCTCAGAAGTTTTAAGATGCTCTTTCTGATTGTTCTTAAATCACATCATCCTAACCTTTTTGCCTTCCTTTTTTGTTTACTTTTACTTTTTAAAAATTTTATTTATTTTTTATTTTATTTATGTTGGTGCTTTACCATGGGTATCCAGTCTCCTGGAAGTGAAGTTACAGACAGTTGTGAGCTGCCATGTGGGTTATGGATTTGAACCTGGGTGATGGGGGATGTCCTTCTGTATATATATTTTTCTTACTAGTTGATGATTAAAACACTGTTTGGCCAATAGAGGCAGGAAGATAGGTGGGAGTAGGAGAGGAGGAGAATTCTGGCAAAGGTAGGCAGAGGGAGCCAGCCAAAAAGAGACATTGTGTAGAGACAGGGAGGATAGGACACTCCAGGTGTTCTCTGGTAAGATGAGGCCATGTAGAAACACATAGATTAGTAGTTATGGGTTAGTAATCAAGACAGAGCTAGCCAATAAGAAGCCCTAGCTATTGGCCAACAGTTTTATAATTAAAAAAAAAGAATGAAAGAGCAGGACATTCAACAGTCTCCTCATATCTATATATGTGGATGCAACTGTGAGCACCAATATGCACAAGTGTGAATACAGCACACACACACACACACACACACACACACTATCATGGCTCTGACATGGGCCTACAAGTGTGCAATGGACAACACCCAGTTGTAACTCGGTCCCTCTGTTTGCTTACTTTTTACCCATGAAGTTTGTGGTTTTCTTTGTTTTGCTATTGACCTGTTGTGGCATTTCTTTTTTCCTTTAAAACAAAAAGAATAAAATTAATCATTCAAGGATATGAATGTAATTCTTTAAGAAGTCTTATATGTCAGCCGTATTCAGACATTGTTTTCAAATTTCAGATCCTAGAAATGAGGCAAAATTCTTAATAATCAGTTTAGTCACCTGAAAGTTGATGACAGAGTTAAATTTCAATTATTTCTGTGTCTTGGGCTATGGCCTTGAGAGGCTATAGGAAAGCACCTTCCCTGGAAGACCTTTGAAGAATGGAAAGCTCACCCTGCTCATGGCTTAGACTGATTGAACAATAAGTGTTAGGGCATGTATCTACCATGAAGACTGAAGACAGAGACCATGCTACACTGGAAGTTTCTTTAAAAATCTCCACTCTTGAAGCTGGAGAAACTGCTCAGTGGTTAAGAGCACTGACTTCTTCCAGAGGACCCGGGTTCAATCTCCAGCACCCACGTAGCAGCTAACAACTTCCTCTAACTTCAAAATCTGAAACCTTCACCCAGACATAAATGAAGGCAAAAACACCAATGCACATAAAATAAAAATAAATACATTATTTTTTAAAATTCTCATTCTCATAGCATGAAACTCCTCACATGTTTAATCTAGCAACAGGAAGGGCCAGGTTAGGGCCTGGAAACTTTAAGGAAGCCCAGTAGGATTTTTATGTTGCAATTTTATTTTCTCTTGAATTATCCAAATTCATGTGACCATAGCTCTGGGGGAATGGAAAGTCAGTCTAATAATGATAGTGATGGATCATTATTATTTATTAATCCATTGGTGTGTTGGTATATAGGATGTGTGTATATGCATGTTCATGTGCGTATGAGTGCAGCCATGCACCTGCCAGTGCATCCATGTGATGCCATCCATTCAGAATTGACACCCTCACTTTGGTGTGCTCTACTCCACTGAGAATCCTGAGATGAAGTTATTCGGTCAAGGTCATGGGCAGAGAGTGGATAGGATGCTCGCCCTACAGTCTGTAACCCTTCCTCAATCAAGGACTAAACATGGTGCAAGGAGATAGATGTCCCTGGACCAAGTTGGAGTCACTGCCTACCTCCATGGTGACTAAAGAATGTACTGTTCAGGACTGGAGAGATGGCTCAGGAGTTAAGAGCACTGGCTGCTCTCCCAGAGGTCCTGAGTCCAATTTCCAGCAACCACATGGTGGCTAACAACCATCTGTAATGAGATCTGGTGTTCTCTTCTAGCCTGCAGGCATACGTTCAGACAGAACACTATATACATAATAAATAAATAAATCTTTAAAAAGTAGAATGTAGTATTCATGAGTGTCCAGCTATATAAACACTTCTTTTCTAGGGACATATTTTCTTAGGACCTGAATGAAAGCCAGACATTCAAATATGTCCCTCGTGCAAACACACAGAGCTGCACCTTAGTGAGCTGTCAGAGACAATCAGGAATTACAGTTTATAAACTTTGCTAAATGCCACAGGAAAAAGGTCATATTTGCCACCAGGACCTGTGTGTGCAGCATATACCTGGCCTGTGTGAATCACAGTCCTTGTGGCTCTTGGCAGAGGGACAAGAAGATATCCTATATACCAGATGTCACCCCTAGAAGCTCCTGTAAGAATATGAAAGCACGGGGCCTCAGGAAGACTTCTACAAGGATGCTCCTAACAACGTCTTCATAATATCCCAAGCTGGAAATGTTGAAGAGCCCAGGATTTTGAGAGCATGCAAATAAATCCGGACTATTTAGACAATTAAGAAGAAGCCAACTGGCACTGTGTCCCTCACTGTGAGTTAATTGCAGAGTCATTCTGTGGAGGGAGGGAAACTTTACAGTAAAGAACTTCTAGGAAATCTTACCTACAAAGCACTTAAAAATCAACCTAAATTAAGTCATCCTTGAACAATAAGTGGCTGCCTTTATGGGAAGGGGACAGAAAGGGTGTGGAGAACCTTCACTGGCATGTTCCGTGTCCCCATAAGATTTTGATTGCAAAAATGATGCAATTAGCAGGATCCACCAAAACCCTTTAGGATCTGTGCCTTTCACTGTAAATTGTATCTTAAATAAGAGCTGCAAAAGATTGAGCCCTAATTAATGGCCATATGTTCAAACACTCACTTCGGTATAAACTGAAAGAGTGTAGGTTTTCTCCAAAGTACTCTCCACTTCCTCTCTCTGAATCTAAGAAAGGTTCTGCACTTCTTCAGACCCATAAAATCAGTGGTTACCCCTACACCAACAGTCAAAGACAATCCTCCCATCAAGGTCTTTATCTTAATCATATATGTAGAATGCCTTTATCATTAAGATAAAAGGTTCCAAGGGCAAGGAGGAACTCAGGGGAGGTCACCACAGTCTACTCCATTGTCACACACAATAACAATGATAATTCTAGCAGTAGACAACTTATCAGTAACACCCAAAACACATAAAACTCTCATTCATTCCTTACTTCTCTTCCCCTTGGATTTTCCTACAGTAGTGTTGTTCCCAGTCTCCATTGTATCTAGAAAACAATAAATGGCAATGAGGGAAGAAATAATAAAGAGAAGTTACAAATCTTAGGACCCATCACACTACAAAGACCTTGCTTACATCAGTTTTTAGACTATCATTCCCTTTCCTCCTTCTAGAAGTACCTAAGGCTGAGAACTAAGAATCCAGGGAGGGCCCTGGGCATTTTTGGCCTCACCCCCAATGGGACATTTTAAATCTTAACACATTTTGCATGGATAAAATAAGAATTTTGTAGGATATTTTCTGGGCAAGCCCTCATTAATTATTTGACATACTTGAGGACTCTGGTTGGAAATGCCCAGTGGACTGAAAATACTTGACCTGAACTCACAACTTCACTATCTGGCTGCAGACCTTTACCTGCTGTCTTGGGTGGCTGGGAAGAATTGGTACCATTCATTACATCAAGGTGGCAGAAAAGATAGGTGCCAATTTTTTTGTTTGTTTTGTTTTTTGTTTTTATGAGACAAGGTTTCTCTGTATTGTTTTGGAGACTGTCGGTCCAGCCTTGCCTCAAACTCACAGAGATCCGCCTGCCTCTGCCTCCCGAGTGCTGGGATTAAAGGTGTGCGCCACCACCGCCCGGCTAAGATAGGTGCCAGTTTTAAGAGTGCATTTCTTTAACTTCATCGATATGTGTGTGATCAACCAGTCTTTTTTCCCCCGTTTTTACTTAGGTTTTATTCATAATCATAAACTTAACTCTGCAATTCAGATAGACTTGTAGGGAAATGAGGAAAACATGGAAGTCAAAGAATTTCAGTGAGAACAGAGATTACAGGGCATTGTGAGCAGGTGGGGTGAGGGGGATGCTTTCCTGAGCTACAGAGTGAATGGTCTGGTGGGGAAGAAGTCGGCAAGTCAAAAGAATTAGAGTTGCCCACAGTTGGAAATGGTGATCTTCTTGCTGGTCTTGCCATTCCTGGACCCGAAACGCTCCATTGCTTCCACAATATTCATGCCTTCTTTCACCTTCCCAAAGACCACATGTTTGCCATCCAGCCACTCGGTCTTGGCGGTGCAGATAAAAAACTGGGAACCATTTGTGTTTGGCCCAGCATTTGCCATGGACAAGACGCCAGGACCTGTGTGCTTCAGGATGAAGTTCTCATCCTCGAATTTCTCTCCGTAGATGGACCTGCCACCAGTGCCATTATGGCGTGTGAAGTCACCACCCTGGCACATGAATCCTGGGATAATTCTGTGAAAGGAGGAACCCTTATATCCAAATCCTTTCTCTCCAGTGCTCAGAGCGCGAAAGTTTTCTGCTGTCTTTGGAACTTTGTCTGCAAATAGCTCGAAGGAGATGCGGCCCAAGGGCTTGCCATTGGCCATGATGTCGAAGAACACGGTGGGGTTGACCATGGCTGCAGGAAGAGGAGACAGGGGACAGCGGTGTCTGCAAGCCGTGATCAACCAATCTTAAACATGTCTCTCTAAAGGGTCCTTGCTTCTCTCCAGCTCCCAAAGGGCAAATGCAGAGAACTGTGGATGGACTGGACCACAAGCTGAAGCCTGTGGTACTCCCTGAGCCATGCCTAACCCATGACCCTTGGTCAGCCTTATTTATTAATTACCTGCTTGGCTGCTTCCGATCCTTGCTTCCCGATCTTTTGGCTTGTGTGCTGGGTAACACATGACACAGGAACACATCTCATTTTCACTTGTGGATTGCTCTGCACCAGGACAAAAATTGTGGGCGTTTGTTTGTTATTTAATTTTGTAATACTGGGAACCAAACTCAGGACCTCACTTGTCCTAAGCAAGCAGTCTGTTACTGGGCTACATCCACACATGCTTTCTTTATGTTTCAGTTTTAGACATGGTGCCAACTAATTTTCCTGGATGTCTTTGAACTCACAGTAGCTCAAGCAAGCCTTGAACTGGGGGTCTTCTGCTGTGATCCCAAGCAGCTGACACATGACCTTTTTATATCTTTGAGATCTACCCCCATTTCTTATTCCTCCAAAACATTTTTACATTCTCCCTTTGTCTGACTTTCAGTTCCTCTTTTTTATTTTTTCCTTTCCTGTCTTTCTCCCTTTGCCAGAACTGCACCTGTGTGATTATTTTAGGGCATAGGCTAGAAGCATGCTCCTCTAACCCCTTTCATTGTTCACTTGGTGATCTAGCATTCTGGATAGTAATCCTAACCAAAAACTTGTTGTCCATGGATCCTAAGGCAGATACAAATGAGAGCCCCACTGCTCTCTGACTGTACAGCAAGCTAGCTCGATTCTTAATGAAAGAGGAAGCATTTTCTGGGGAACTAACCAAACAAAAGACAATGCAAACTAAGAAACAAACAAAACCTGCTCTAACGATCACTCCCAGGATCCAGTGGAGCTCTTCTCTTTCCACCACGGACATTATTTTCCGTTTTCCCCCTTTAATTTGCTACATGTATTTGTAAGGAAACTTTAAGGTTCTTATCTTCCTTGATGAAGGAAAAAAATGTTCTTTGAAAACGGAAAAGGATGACTTTTGCTAGCTTTACTAGCTTCAAACCTGTCCCAAATTAGCCAGTGACTACCTAATCACTAACCAGGCTTCTGAAATCTAGCCAGTCAGAAGCAGTGATACAAATTTGAAATCCAGCCAATCGGCAGCAGTCATGCTCCAAATGCTTGCTTGATGGTCCTGTAGCAGCCTATGCTAAGCGCTGCTGCTTGCTGGTCCCTGCTTCTCAAAGCTCCAGGTGAAGAGGGCTGTAGCCTAGGAGCCATGTGCTCTGAGCACAGTGTCTCCTCCCACTCCCATCAGGGCCTTCACTTAGCAAGCTTCAGCTTCAGGCTTGAGAGTGATGTCTCTGAAGACTTGCTGGGACTATGCTGCAGGTGTAAATTCTAGACCTCTTTTCTAGACCTCTTGTGCACAACTCAGATGGTGTTCCTGAACCACTGCCAGGTGACTCGGTGTCCACAGCAACTCGTTTCATTGTGCTCTCATTTCTGAGTTATGCTAGTTAAAGATGCATATGTAATTCTATATAAAGAAGTTGCTATCCAAGAGGCACCAAGATCATGATGGGGGAACCCACAGACAGCTGACCTGAGCTTGTGGAAGCTCACAGACTCTGGACAGACAGCTAGGGAGCTGGCATGGGATTGACCTAGGTCCTCTGCGTCTGGATGGCAGGTGTGTAGCTTGGTCTTTTGCGGGGCTCCTGGCAGTGGGACCAGGACCTGTCCCTGATGCATGAGCTGGGTTTCTGGAACCTATTCCCTATGGTGGGATGGCTCATCTAGCCTTGATGCAAGGGGGAGGAACTTGGTCCTGCCTCAACTTGATATGCCATGTTTTGTTGACTCCCATGGGAGGCCTTACCCTTTCTGAGTTGGAGACAGAGGAGGAGTGGATGGGCGTGTGTGTGGAAGGGAGGTGTAGGATGGGATGGAAGGAGAGGAGGGAGAGGAAACTGTGGTTGGTATGTAAAATAAATAAATATAAATTGCTATCTTGATTTGTAGGTACAACAGATAGCAAATATTCTGTTTATTCTTGCTTCATTTTGTCTCGTCAACTTTCAAAGTCTTTATCTTGTGTCTGCTTCTGATTCTCCCATTCTTTCTGAATATTACAAGATAATGACCCCTTCCCCAATAGATGGAAGCAAATGTCTAACAAGTCCCCAAGTCTCAAAAGATAACGAATGTGGATCCACCAGTCGGTGGCCAAACTGTGCAAAGATTCTTGTCCTACTCTATCTTGGGACATTCACAACGACAAATGGTGGCTTGTCAGTCTATGAGGTAAGTCATTTTTCTCATTGTGTTTGTAGTGTTGGGTCAAACACTGTCAGGGAACCAATCACACATCCCTTTTTAGCCTCTGTTTCTCTCAGGCACCCCTGTACTCCACACATGGCAACATACTGTTCACCCTTATAACCAATCATCCTCTTTCCACTTCTCATGGGCTTCTTTCCTCAGAGTCAAATCCCCAGACAGAACTTACACTTCCTCCTGGTACTCTCTTAATGACACTACCTCTTACACCTGATAAACGGCAGGACTGCACTGTTCCACTTCAGCATGGGGACTTCACATGTTTGTCAAGTGGCTCTATAACATAAGGGAGACAGTCTCTAATGTCCTCATGTCTCTACCAGTATTTGCCATTGCAGACCATTCTCTGAGGAACATTGCTTTCTTTGGCATCCCCCCACTCCCCCCAACCATGAGGTTGAGAACATTCCGAAAAAGGAACTGCCAGGTTAAGTGGACACAGACATCATTCACAGGTCCTGAAATGTTTGCCTGCACCTGTCTCTGTATCATCGGTCTGAGCCACCAGCCCCTGACTAGGTGTGACACAGACACAAGCCCTCATCTCTTCCCCAAAGTGCCTCGCCTGATCTTGGTAGTCTCTCTGTCTCTCCTAAAGGATCTTTTGTCTACTTTTCATGGTCTACTTTTGTTTGATGACCCCTGTAATATCACTTGCTTGAGAAGATTTGACCCATTCAGACATTTCTTTTCTATGGGGTGTCTTTAGCTCTCTGGTGATTAAGTGGTTTCTACTCAAGACCTCATTATATAAGCAAGGGTCAGTCATGGTGAAGGAAGCAACAATGGAGGCAGGAGAACCTCAGAATATCTTGTGGGGGACTGTCCCCTTCCATGGCCCTATTGGTCCCAGGCCCTTCAAGTACATTTTGGGAGGCATTTGAGTTGGGCTTCCTGTGTGATTTCTCCACTTTTTGGAGAAGAAAGTTAATCAAGGACTCTATTGAATGGGTACATTTTTAACACACACACACACACACACACACACACACACACACACACACACACATACAATCATTGGATATGTCTGCAAGTATCTGAGAACTTCCTCCTTCCTAGAAAAGCTCAACATCTGTGTGTTTTTCCCTTCCCAGAAAACAAGGTAAACCCTTATGTTTTATAGCACAAAATCAGCTCCTGGTTGGGCAATTATCTCTGGGTTACTTGGCTTATGTGCAAATTCCTGACCACATGGGCCAGTGGGCCAGGTTTGGTTTCTTCACCTAGTAATCCTTCTGTTCTTAGTATGTCACAGTCCTTCAGTAAAGTGTATGTCAATGAAAAATGAATGACTGAATGACTGGATACATGAATGAAATTGATCTTGAATTCCTGAAATGCGTGAGAGCTATAGTTACCATCTAGGAAGATACTTAGAATCTCCTTTAAGTCTGGGTAGGCCTTCAGATGCGTTGGGCTGAAGATCACTTCCAGAAGCCTCAGGCTGAAGTTCTTTTGCAGGTCGCAGAGGATGTCATACACCACATTTCTCACTGCATCCTGGTTCTCGCATTTTTTTTTAGAAATCTTAAAAATATTGAGTGAAGAATTATGTCACAATGGATTTATGGGTTTTAAGAGAGGCTTAGACCAGTTCAAGCACCATATGATTGCTTGTGAAGTGTCTGAGTTTTGCACATATCAGGTGACATCTCACACGTCCTCTCTGTAATGACAGATCCATGCTTGTCCTAGAGCATCTCTGATGCTGACACACAGTTGACAGGAAAGAGTATTCTAAAGAATGATCAAATGATGTGTCTCTAAGCCAAGATGCTCCACGGTGGCCCTGACAGGCCATGAGATGCTGTCTGGAGACCAGACAGTAACTCCCCAGAGACTGACCAGGTCAGCAGGGCTCAAGGCAACCAAGTGAGCATCCTGGCCACAGGGCAGAGAAAATGCACAGAGAAGAGGAGGTTTGTCTCCATCATCTCCAGGGACCCCATCACCGACCTGCACTACATTCTAGGGCCACAGCTGTGCCCAAGGAACAAGGAACGATTAGTAGAGAAGCAAGCACGACTTCCGGTTCCAGCCTCACGTGACCCAACTGCCTGTGGCTTTCTTTTCTCCGCCCTCCTTCCCTCCCTCCCTCCCTCCCTCCCTCCCTCCCTCCCTCCCTCCCTCCCTTCCTTCCTTCCTTCCTTCCTTCCTTCCTTTTTGTTTTTTTTTTTTTCAGACAGAGTTTCTCTGCATAGCCCTGGCTGCCTGGAATTCACTCTGTAAACCAGTCTGGTCTTGAACTCACAGAGATCCGCCTGCCTCTGCCTCCCTTAGTGCTGGGATTGAAGGCCTGCTCCACCACGGCCCGGCTTCCTCAGGCTCCAGGATTGGAATAAGTAGGCTTTGTAAGGAAGCCCTGCTTGGACGTGTCCACTAGCATTCTAGCTTCTGATGCTCATTGCACAAGTTAACCTGGGCTGCTCTGCCCTTTGATCTTTCCCACTCCCTATCCATCCTCTGTCACCGTGTACCTCAGCCTCGGTTACAGCAGAGATGGATACGAATGTTCCCTGTGATCCCTGCTTCTCCTGTCACCTCTGACTTCCAAGAAGGGAAGGTCCTTCCTCCCTGGAGGCCCTTCAGCCTGTTGGCTGCATCCAGAGGTTCAGCGTAATACGGCATGGGCCAGGCTTACTGTCAGGGCTGAGTTCATTCTCCTCACTCACCTGGAACTTCTGCTCAGAGATGAAGTCGCGGTCTCGGAGGCTCATAAGGAAAGGAAAGGACTTTGTGATGGCGCTTGCGATTTCCACCTTATTTTCTTTGAAGCACTTGAACATGAGCCGATAGTCTGCCGACTCCTCTGCACACACAGTGTCCTCAGTGGTTGAACTAAGGGATAGATTCCATGTAGAAGCATAAACCAGCTTACAAGAGGCTACCAATGGCTGGGTAATTGCTGGCACAAAGGATGGTCTATGCAGAGCCAGTGTGTGTAAATTAAGTTGTTTGTGGGAAGACAGAAATAGAATTTTTGTTGAGGTAATTTTTGAGGGTGCAATAGAAGAAACCAGGGATCTTGGCAGAGCACTGTACATGTTGAGTGGGTGCATTCTAAGCAATGACTCATATCTAAAACAAAACCACCCAATTAACTCTGCAATCTTCACAGGTATTGATATGATGTTGTAATGGCTAATTTTACATGTCATCAGGAAGAATAAGATAAACATTCTGTGTAAGAAATTTTGTATTCTATGTCAGTGATCTCTATCTAATCCACTAAGAACTAAATAGAACAAAAGAACCACCCTCCTCAAATGACAATTCTCTAGCTTTGTACCGTCAAGCTGTACCTGTACCATATCTAGTCAACTGGGCCACTCTGCTGATTTCTTTCCAACTTCCACAATTGTGTGATGTAGTGATATCTTGTTTTTATTCTAACAAATAAAGCTCGACTGAAGATCAGAGGGCAGAGCTAGACACTAGTTACCCATAGAGGCCTGGAGGTCTGTACAGACAGACAGGAAGTGATATGGCTGGGTGGACAGAGGAATATAAGGTGGGAGAAGACAGTAGCTGGGCCTCTTTTGGTCTGAGGATTTCGTAGATGTAACAACTCTAGGGGCTGGCTGCTCTGCTTTTCTGGTCTTTCAGCTTTCACTTTCTATTATCTGACTCTAAGTTTTTATTATTAAGACCAATTAGAACTCATCTTGTATCTGGCATCCAACTTTTGGGGCACAAATTCACAAAAAAGTTGCTTGATTGTGACATTGCAGCCACTGGCGCAGGCCGGAGCTGCACTCAGGGTTCCTGCCTTGGCTAGGTTCTCCTCTCTTTTTTCCCTAAGCCTGTGAGTGGGTTTGGATGGCTGGCTCCTGGCTTCTTTTGTCCCAGTGGGTTGTGGGCTTTCCCTGAACCCTCTCCTCTGACTGCTGCCAAACTACGTAGCTGCCTTGACACCTGCTCGGGCATCTACTGTTCTACACAGCAGCAGTAAGTTTCACATTTTACTGTCATCTGAATCATCATCATGGGTAGATTTAGTGAGACACCTGGGAATTTGTAAAGAGAGGAATTAGTTAAAAGAGAGTTTTTTCCCCACATTAAAAAGTTGGAAGCCCCAGCAGGACAGTGGTGGCGCATGCCTTTAATCCCAACACTCGGGAGGCAGAGGCAGACAGATCTTTGTGAGTTCAAGGCCAGCCTGGTCTACAGAGTGAGTTCCAGCCTCCAAAACAATCAGATAAACCCTGTCTTGAAAAAAACAAAAAAAAATTGGAAGCCCCATTACAATGGGGGAGTTAGGTCTCTATATGATAATGCACTGGGCAGTTTGAAAATGGAACAATTAAGTGAAAGGATAACTACTTTGGATGGGATCTATATAATGTCAATTATAAACATTATCAGTCTTACCATTTTTGTTTTATCACTAAAAAAGATGGTTAGTATGAGTGCTAAGATTTAAGTTTTAGAACAACTTATTAAAACAGATCATAGAGATATTCAGACCCAGACAGAGGAATTTAAAGGAGAACCAATTTCAGGGTTGCATTATAAGGTTAGAGAGGAACAGCCTAAGGTTTTCAAACAACCAACTTTAATTTACCCAGTCACCCTACAGGAACAACTGCCAAATGATAGTTATACCAAGGCTGTGCAAGAACTGAATAGATTCCCTTGGAAATGTTCGACTTAATGAGATTCAAGGAAGTGATAGTCTCACATGGCATGCAGTCACCTTTTGTGAAGCAGATGTTAAACTCGTGGTGAACTTGTAATAGAATTATCCCTCAAGACTGGGGAGACTTAGTTATAGCAGTCTTGGAGCCTGGTCCTCAATTAGATGAGACTAAGATTATTGAGCAATGAAGTGTGGCTAGAGGTATGGAAATCTTTCAAGACCAACTTCTCTATGTGATGACCACACCCTGGCTTTGTGCCACACAGCAGGTTTGAATGCTTGGGACAGAATTGAAGAAGTAGGAAAGAAAATTGAGTCATTTACTAAAGTTATACAGGGCCCAAAAGAAACCTTCATGGACTTCTTACAAATATTGACTTCAGCAGTAAATAGAATGATAACCAAATTCAGAAGCTAGATAAATTGTAATTGAATCTCAGGCTTTTGAAAATGCTAATGCACAGTGCAAAAAGGTAATTAGGCCATTAAAGGCAAGATCAGCACCCTTGGAGGAATGGATCTGAGATACAAGGCAATATTGAATCTCATGACCATGATGATACTTGAATAGAAGAGGTGATTTCCAGAGGTGAAGAAAAGTTATAATGCCAAGTGTTTCAATTGTGCTAAACAAGGTCGTTTGAAAAGGGACTGTAAACAGGTGTTCCTAGAAACAAAGTTTTTTTCTAAGCATAATCCAAAGAGAACACCCCTCCCTTCTGGGTTATGCAGAAGGTGTGGCAAGGGCAGGCATTGGACTAATGTATATAGATCAACAAGAGAAAGTCAAGGTAACCCTTTGCTGTTGGGAAACACTTTGAGGGGACTCTTGCATGCAGGCCTCCATACCAAATTCAGTTCTGTTGTTTCTTGTCATTGTGAAGGAAACTCCTTCCTAGACAATGCCTATTATAAAAAACCATCCTACTAGCCAGGCAGTGATGGTGCACACCTTTAATCCCAGCACTCAAGAGGTAGACACAGGCATATCTATGTAAGTCTGAGGCCAGCTTGATCTACTGAATGAGTTCCAGGAAAGCCTCCAAACCTACAGAGAAACCCTGTCTCAAAAAACCAACCCCACAAATAAAACAAAACAAAAACGAAAATCCCCCAAAAAACATATTGCTCTGGATGATAGAAAAGCTATAGAAGAGAGAAAAGAAATTCAGGAGAACCCACAAAGCAAATATTTTGGATACTTCCATAAATGAACAAAGACAAAAATTAAAAATACAAATAAATGATATTGTCATTGAAGGTCTTGTAGACACAGGTGCGGTTATCACAATAATTGCACCAGAATCTTGGCATGCAAATTGGGCTCTTCAGGAGGTAAATGTTCAGCTTTTAGGGATTGGAACTTTATCTCAGGTAAAACAGAGTCCAAGATGGGTCAAATGCATAGGGCCAGAAGGGCAGAGAGGAAAATTAAAGCCATATGTGGCTCACATAGCAATGAACTTATGGGGATGTGGTTTGTTATAGCATTGGAATGCTCAGATTAACATTCATCCAATCTCAAAAACAGACCATAATTTAACGAATGTTTCTGGAAAAAATATAAGAAGGTTGTACAAGAACCGGGCAAACAGCTGCTGATTTTTCAAAGGCACCAAGAGCCTTACCTTTAAAATGGTTGATGGTCAAACCTGTATGGATTGAGCAATGCCCTTTAACAACAGAGAAACTCTAGGTCTTAGAACAGCTGGTACAGGAGCATCTAAATGTTCAGCATATTGAAGAATCAACCACCCCTTGGAATTCTCCTGCATTTGTTATTAAAAAGAAATCCAGAAAATGGTGAATGGTAGCAGATCTAAGAGCTGCTAATAAGGTGATTCAGCCAATGGACTCTCTACAGTCTGGAATTCCTTTGCCTTCTCTATTACCTAAAGGGTGGTCTCTTATAGTTATTGATTTAAAAGGTTTTTTTTCTTCATTATACCTTTACAAGAAAAAGAGAAAAAAATCTGCCTTCACAGTGACTACTTATAATAATTTTCAGCCTGTTAAGAGATATTTATGGAAGATTCTCCCACAGGGAATGTTAAATAGCCCCACCCTGTGCCAATATTTTATACAACATCCATTGGAAGTAGTATGTAAGCAGTTTTGTTTACTGTTACATGGATGATTCAAATGTAGATACTTTAGAAGAAATGTTTGAAGAAGTAAAAAAATTTTTGCCTTGTTGGGGATTAAAAATTGCTCTTGGAAAAAATACAAAAATGAGATTCTATTAATTATTTAGGATATAAAATAAGTCTCAAAAAATTAGACCTCAAAAGGTGCAAATTAGGAGAGATCAATTGTGAATTCCTAATGACTTTCAAAGATTGCTAGGAAGCTGGGTGCTGGTGGCGCATGCTTTTAATCCCAGCACTCAGGAGGAAGAGGCAGGTGGACCTCTGTGAGTTGGAGGCCAACCTGGTCTACAGAGGGAGTTCCAGGACAGCCTCCAAAACAATATAGAGAAAATCCTGTCTTGAAAAACCAAAAAAAGAAAAAAAGAAAAAGAAAAAGAAAAAAGAAAAAAAAAGAAGAAGATTGCTAAATCTACGGCCCACTATTGGGGTAAAAAATAATGTACTGAGCAACTTGTTCAAAACTTTAAATGGCGTCAAGGACTTAAATAGTCCAAGAGAAGCTGAAACTAAGAGAGAATTGGCTTTTGGGGGAGAAGAAATCACAGGATGCACATGTAGATTGTTTGGATCCAGAGCTTGATTTCATTCTAGTTTTTTTTAACCCTCTATGCATTCCCCTACAGGAATATTAATACAGAAGGAAGATATTATCTTAGAATGGATTTTTTTAACCAGAAAAAAACGTGTAAAAGACTAAAAACTTGCGTGGAAAAAGTCTCTGACTTGATTCTAAAAGGAAAATTGAGACTTTGTAGTGCCTTTTACATTGTATAATCATACACACTACTGGTTCTGTTTCTCTGAAGAACTCTAGTATATATTTCACAAAAGAAAAAGCTACACACAAAGGAGTTTTTGAAAATGAGATATTATGTATTCTAACAATGAAAGGCAAGGCCGAGGGTTGGTGGCACACGCCTTTAATCCCAGCACTTGGAAGGCAGAGGCAGGCGGATCTCTGTGAGTTCCAGGACAGCCTGGTCTATAGAGCGAGTTCCACGAGAGCTAGCGTTACACAGAGAAAACCTGTCTCAAAACACCAAGGGGTGGGGGGAGAAGGAAAACACTAAGTGACCCATTCAGAGTTTACACCTTCAGGCTTTTGGGATTTCCCTCTGGAGAATCTGCAAGTCCATCTCATTGTACGTGCCCCCCCCCCCCCCCAGTAGCAATGAAAATAATTCTGGACTTTAGTTTTCTAAAAATAGATTTTTTGCAGTGTTTTTTGTTCATTTTTTAATTAAAATTTTACATTCCAATTCCAGTTCCCCTTCCTTCCTTTCTTCCCACTCCCTCCATTCCCTCCTCCTCCCATCTGCTCCATGGAGAGGGAGGCCTCCCATAGGAAGCCTACTCTGTCCCATTATCTCGTTGGGGCAGGACCAAGGCACCTACCTCTCCACCCCACACCCCTGTGTCTAGGCTGAGCGAGGTATCTTTCCATATAGAATGAGCTCCACTAAGTCAGTTTGTGATTAGTGTTAGATCTTGGATCATTGCCAGTGGCCTCACATATTGTCCCAGTCACACACCATTGTCACCTGTATTGAGGGAGTCTAAGTTCGGTTTTATGCAGGTTCCCCATTTGCCAGACCTGAGTCAGTGATCTCTCACTAGCTCAGGTCAGCTGATTCTGTGGGTTTCCCCATCATGGTCTTGACTCCTTTGTTCATATTATCGCTCCTCCCTGACTTCCATTGTACTCCAGGAGCTTGGCCCATTGGTTAACTGTGGATTTCTTTTGCAGAGTTTTTTAGAATGGGGATTATGGAGACCTGGGAGAGGCAGAAGGATCAGAGGCCACTCCAGCAGGGGCTGCCAAGGACAAAGAAGTCCACACAGTGTCAGCCCAGCTATGTGACAGGAGCAAGGAAACGAAGTGGGGTGACAGTTAGCCTACGACAGTGAAAACTGCTTTTCCAGGTTCTTAATTCCCTGTGATCTCATTGTCTCAAGTACCGGTAGCCCCATGGCCTCAGCCTGGGAGGTTCTCGTAACACATGTAATCATCGACCTTAGCAGCTTAGGACTTACCAGCAGCTGGATCCACTTTCCTCTTCTGCCATCCCATACACAGCACCGAGGGTGCCCTGAACTTGGCTCAGGGCGGAGTGCACCACCTCCGAGCCGGGGAAGCTCAGCAAGAACTCCTTGAGGCCCTCCAAACACAAGGAAACAGAAAGTGAAATTGCTCAGCTGTGACTTGGCTGCAACCACACGCTATTAGGTTCCAACACCATCTCCTATCCTGCAGGATCCCCGCTCCCCGCCTCCACCCAGTCTCTACCCCAGAGGGGAGGAACAAAGGCAGCCCAAGTCCCTAGAAACCTGGGACCCCTGGTTCACTCCAAGGAAAGGTGGAAGTGTCTGTTTCAGCCAAGGACTCAGAGCTGTCTGGGGAGAGGTGGCTGCCGAGTATAGGAAGGAAGTGGCCGGGGTGGTGCCTGGAAGGACAAAGGGAGAGTAGGTTGTCCACAATCTCTCAGACTGGTGGCTGTCCCAGAACCCTAGAGAGCCAGAGCTGGAGAAGTCGGACCTGATAGTTGGGGCCCAGACTAGGAAACGTCAGAAGGTGTGGTCTCCTAAAGGGCTTGGAGCTTCTGAATGAAGCCAGAAGCAAGAAAAAACTCTCCCCTGCCTCCTCCAGCCAAGGGCAAGTGCAGAGAGTCTAGGCAGAACAAGTTGAACAAGTGTGCCCTTGACAGCTAAGCAACAAAGGGCTTCAGCGATCTCACCGAAGTCTCGAGAACAGGCTTCTTTTTAAAATTGTGGGTTTTTTTCTTTTTTTTTTTTTGTTGAGAATTTCATACACATCATTTCCACCCCACCCTCTCTCACCACTATCTCTTGTATTCCCTGTTTTCCCTCTCAAATCCATGACCTTTTATTATTTTACACACACACACTCACACACACACACTCATACACAGACACACACACATACACAGACGCGCACACACACACACACACACACACACACACACACACACACACACACACACAGACGCACACACACAGCCTGTCCAGTCCGCTTAGTGTTTAGGACTGACCTCTTAGTTTCAGAGAAAGTATGAGGGGGCTGGTCCCTGGAGAAGACTGACTCCCCCTCCCTCTTCCCTGTTTTAGCAACCCTCAGCTGCTGTAGTTCTCTGTGCAGGGGCTGAGCCTTGTGAAATATCCCCAATCCACACTGACAGGACAACTGGGATTGTCACTACATAGGTCTTGTTTAGGTGACCACGTTGTTGCGATCTCATCGGTAGAAGACACAGCACAGGTCCCGGCGTCCTGGCCCTCTGACTCTTATAAGCCTTCCACCCCTTCTTCGGAAGTCCTCTGAGCCTTTGGTGCAGGGGTCGTGCTGTGAGTGTATACACGGGGGCTGGGCACCCCCAGGTCAGTTAGAACAGCAGCCTTCTGTAGGATGGGGAGAAGTCTGGAGCGGAGATTTTTTGTCAAAGACAATGCAATCCCAGAGGACAAGCACATTTATCATACACCACTTCTCTCACACCCTCATTCTGTAAGCTAGACAATTAGCATGAAGTCAAAAGGTAAAGAAACAGGAGCAAAACAAATAAAGGGAGAGTCAGAAGGATGGGGAACACAGGCAGAGCACTGAGTCAAAGACAGGGTGAGTGAGATCCAGGGTGTGGGCACAGGCCGAGTCTCAGATGGAGCTTCTGGCTGGCTGTGAGGACCGAGAAGCAGGAGCAGGCAGGGTTTGTGGAACAGGGCTGTGAATCCCGGAGCTTCCTCTCATTGCAGGTGTACTGTAGGCTGAGTGCGAACAGGAAGCGCAGGGTCTTCTGTCCCTTTGGCCCCTCTGACTTCTTTCTCTCCAAGGAGGAAACCTCATGTGATTTAGACAGATTCCAGGAATCCAGTGAGGACACGAGGACATCTCCAGTGACCTACACTGTGTCTACATGGAACTGCATACATATAGACCCTCTCTCCTCCTACCTTCTCTCTCCCTCCCCTGCCTTCCTTGAAGACTTTGCTAGAAGGAGGGCTGCCTCTCTTGGCACCAGTGTCCTCTGCTCACGGCATTTGTGGGTCATGGTGGCATACACAAACCTGACACAGACACTATTCAGCCTGCCCCGCTGTCCTCCCTCTTTGCCTCTGGGCAGCAGGCAGGCTAGATCCTCGGTGGGCTTCCCTGAGCTGCCAGCTTCTTGGGCTCACAAGCATGGGCCTTTGATGCTCTGTGGCTAGCCCGCAGTGAGAGCAGAACCTCAGAGATGCTCCTGCCCCTTTCAAGCAAACCCTGCTTAGTCACACCGTGTTCTGACCCAGAGATCTCCCGCTGTTCTGTGCTCAGCACAGCAGCCGCCTGGGATAAACAAGAGGACTTTCTATAAAGAATTGGACAGTTTTCAGGGGGTGTAGGAAATGGCCTAGAGCTTCCCCGTGGCAGTGATTATATTTAGTAAAATCCATCAACTGATCCCTTTAGATCAATGCATTTTATGTATCTGTAAAACTGTGCTAAAATATATAATTTTAATAGGCTCTTATGTAGATCACTTGCACGTGAATTACCACGTGAGGTTTACCGTTATTACTGTGTGCTTGAGTATGTATGGCTTAGAATAAACATTTTCAACTTTGCTCACACATGTCTGGTATAATAATTTTTTTGGGTGTGGTATTTCCTGGTATAGTTCTGTAAAGACCTAAAGGAAGTCCTTGTTGCCATATTCCTAGGATGACCAGGAAGTGTGGATCAGATTGATTGGAAAGATTTCAGAAAATAAAGTGTGACATTTTCATAAAATAGTCCTCTCCCCATTAGCATGGTGTTCTCTCTCTCTCTCTCTCTCTCTCTCTCTCTCTCTCTCTCTCTCTCTCTCTCTCTCTCTCACATCCTGAATTAACTTGGGCTTGCTTTATTCCCCTCCTCCCTTGGTTCCCATCCCTAGACAGCCTGGGTCAAACCCGCTGCCCTTAGTTCAAATCTAAAGCCGCAGAGTCCTCATGGATGTCCTGGGAGGGGATTTTTGGGGTGGGGGATGTCAATACATTTGGGAAATATTAGATAGGGTTACACAGAACTCTGAAGTGAATACTAAGACCCTAGTTCAGGCTCACTTGGGATCTTTAAGGGACTGTGCCTGTGCCTGTCTTTTCCCTGGCCAGGGTGTGTGTGGGGTCACCTGGCTGCCTTTGATTTCCCTTCCGTGTGTGTGTGTGTGTGTGTGTGTGTGTGTGTGTGTGTGTGTGTGTGTGTACATATATGCAGCACCCTGGGACAGTGTAGGATCATGGAATTCGAGTTGCAGATGATGTGAGCTCTCCCACTCTCTTGGCAGTTTTTAGAAACCAAACCCAGACCTCCCCAATCCATCGCTCTCCTAATCCAGACCCTGCTCTTTTGCTTTTTAAGATATATGTCTCACTGAGTCCAATTAGTGCTGCCCATGAGCTCATGGCTGTGGAACCATCTACTTGAACAGGACAACCCAAATGGTGGCCATGCCTCCAAAAAAAACGGCCCTTCTTCCCCCAGTGGTCATCAACTGCCAGTAGCTCACCCACTGCTGAGGTGCATAGGATGACACAGAGAGAATCCTGGTTCATCTGTTCATCTGTATCGCAGGGCCAACTCCCTCATACACTGTCCCCGTGTCTGAGCCTCAGCAGCGTCTATCAAATGTGCTACCCTTACCTTTTTCCATGTGAGTGACAGTTCCTCTGCTCTTGACCTGCCTGTGACTTCTCCGGCCACCCCACCTCCACTCTTCACCCTCACCCAGGCCCTTGGTCCACAGGTCACTTGGTGCCCACATCTTCCCTGGGCATAGGTGCAACCCTAACCTTGTGCGCCCCCCCCCCCCTGTGTTCTGGAGGTGCCAGGAGCTGGTCTTTGGGTCACTAATTAGATTTTCCCCATTCCCTCTGTCCTCTTCCCTACCAGACACCCTCTTGATTTCTTCCATGGGTGCTGTCATGTCAGGAAACCAATTTGCTTTTCTTAATTGATTCTTTGCAGGTTTCTAGTTGTTTGCTTACACTTTACTAATGAGGGTCTAAGTCAGCTGCTGCAGCTCCCTAAGGGCTGGGACTGCACAGATTGGGTACCAACCTGGCCTCCCCACTTTTTCTTATACAGGCACAATCCTAATAGATGAGGACCCCACCTTCACAGCCTCATTTTCCTCAGTTACCTCCAGATACCGTAAGCTGGTGGTTCTCAACCTTCCTAATGCCACAACCCTGTAATACAGTTCCTCATGCTGTGGTGACTGCCAACCACAAAATTATTTTTGTTGTCACTTCATAACTGTAATTTTGCTACTGTTGTGAATTGTAATGTAAACATCTGATATTCCTGATGGTTTTAGATGACCCATGAGAAAGGGTTGTTTGACATTCAAAGAGGTCACAACCCACAGGCTGAGAAACAGCCATAAGTGGATTAAGCATCTCTCTTACTAACTCACAACAGAGATTCAATTTCAACATAGGCTTTGGTAGGGACCATAGTACTTCCTGTATGCGTTTTAAAAGTTTACCCAGTACCTGTATCAATATATTTTGTAGTATCAGTAGAATTTGATAGCAACTGCACACTAAGCATCCTTAATCACAGTGTCTTTCCATCAACATGAAAAAGGATGGTTTATATTATAAGTGACACTGGGGGTTCTTTGCTTTAAGCTTTGTAGGAAATTGGTCAAGGGTCAGGTCAGTCTCCCAGGCAAGGAGATACAGTGTCATCACCTCTGCTGGAAGGCCTCATCTGAAAGGAGCTCATAGATGAGACTGAGGTGGAGGACTCTGACCTGGAGACAGGTTAGCGCAGCTGGCAGGTGATTACCATTTGCCCAGGGGAGGAAGGCACTGTAGACAAAGCTCACTTGAATCACTGTACTAGACATCTGTCCATGCTATACACAATAAGCATGTGGCATTGAACAATACTTGGTATCATATTTGCTTCTTGCACTAAAGCCTTCTCTTCTGGCACCTTTAGTTTGTATGCATCCTAATATCAAGACCATTTTCTAAGGCACACAGACACCAACAGCTTCGTTTTTCATTTCCAGGATTCAGGCAAGTTTCCATTGCACATCAGCTGTCAAAAGAGGCATCGTGAGCATGTACCCAGCGCTGGACCAGCCCAAACAGGAAGGGCTTCAGAGCTGGGACACTCAGGGGCTCGGAGGTGAAGGTCAGACACCGAGAGTTGAGTATGTGTCAGGAGTTCATCAGCTAGCCACCCTTTTCTTGAGGTTACTGTTGGAGGTGCAGAGCAAAAGTCCTTCCTGAACGGAAGAAAGTTGACAAGTAAGGTTATTCTGGAAGCTGCTCCTTTGTGGGTCTCCATGTCCCCTCTTTTAGGAAATACCTATACCTAGATATCAAGACTAGGAAGCCCACAGTGTGGGAACAGAAATGGGCTTCTTCCTCTAAGGGTTAGGGCCTAACTGCTTTCTCTTCTAAATTCCCCTTAGTGCTAAAATCATTTTCCCCTTTACTTAAACCCAAGACCCAAGCTCTCCTTTCTCAGTCCTCTCCTCATTTTCTCTTTCCATTCTTCCCCTCCAGGTAAAATCCTTACACATCCATCCCTGAAATGTTTGAAGTTTATTTAGGAAAAAAAAAAGGCTTCATTATGGGAGTGAGCACGTGTCCCAGTGCACACGTGGAGGTCGGAGGACACCGAGAGCATTTGGTTCTCCCCTTCCACATTTGCTTGGGTTCTGGGGGTTTAACTCAGGTTGCAAGGCTTGCAAGCACGTTTACCATGTGCCCTCCCCCGCTTTCCCCGCCGTGATAATGGTTTCAGTATTATTGGGAAGCTCCGCTCAGGAGTCACAGCTCATGCCTTCTGCAACTGTTACAGGCTAGAAAGAGAGTGCCACAAAGGTGTGTGTGCTCGGGGGTGGGGGGGGGAGGAGAGACTGCCACATTTGAGGTGGCTGAATATGTCTCAGGGTCCACATGAACTGGGTCTTCTGTAAAGACTTAGCAGATGGGGACACAGGGAATTCTTTGCCTAGAGTTAATTTCCTGCCAATGTAGGGCAAACAGGCCAAGCTGTGTTTCTTTCACTGGCTCTGGTTTCAGGGCCAGGGTGGGCTTCTTTGGTTGGCTCTAGTTTCAACCAACCTACCTACCCAAACCCACTAGGCCAAGGTTCTTTTTTTTTTTTTCTTTCCAATTCTTTTTATTTAAAGTTTTAAATTCTTACATGGGAAATAGTGATAGGAATAAACACATACAGAAAAGCTTCTGTTTACGGGTATCACCAGGAAGAGGAAGAGGGTTAGATTTTCTTTGGATAGATCTATAGTTCATTCTGGTTTTTTTTTCTTTTGTCTTTGAGACTATAATACAATCACTTCATTTCCTCCCTTCCTTTTCCTCCCTCCAAATCCCTCCCATACATTCCTCCCTGCACTCTTTTGAATTCATGATGTCTTTTTAAATTGTTATATGCATACATGTGTGTATATATATATGTGTGTATTATGTATGCAATCCTGAATATAACCAGCTTGATGTGTATAATGTTACTTGAGTGTTTTCAGAACTGACCACTAATATTGGATAACATTGGTGTGCTCTTCTTAATCAGAATTATATCCACTGGTTTTCCTTCCATTTCTCAGTATTTCCAGGATGTTTGTTATGTGTTTCTGTATCACATACCCCTAAAAGGTTGCAATGCAAATCAATACCCATTGATAAAAATAATACTGTGATGAGGAAAGGGAATGGCAGCCTATAGAAAAGGCCAAGGTTCTTAAATCTCACTTGAGCACAAAAAACTTGGCCTTCATTAAAATTCTCCACCCATTTTACTTGTGCTTAAGGTCTTCATCTTGCACATCTGTGTTTCTAACTTGGTCACTTAACAACCTCTTTGTAAGTCATGCTGTTGAGTCACAATGGGAATTGGTTCACTTTTTTTGCTACTGAACTTCTGCTCACTCGTCCAGGACTTGAACCCACCACCCTTAGCCATTACAATACCTGCTCCAGGAATCTTAAGGTCTTCGCCTTGCACCGTATAACTTTCTTCCAGTCTCTTGACTGGGCCCTTTTTCCTTCAATTAAAAATTCCTTTGGGGTGAGCCAATCCCCTGCCTCATTCTGAATGCATTTTACTGAGGGTCCTGGAAGAAAAAGACAAGCCATTACAGGACCCACCTGGATCCTCTGTGAATTTACACAAACCTTTGAGTTTCTCCATTCTGACTTTTCACCTTTCCAGAGGATTTGTTAGTGGTGGAAGCAGAGGCAGGGAAATCTGGGCTCCTCTCTCAGATTCAGGGAACCATAGACCCTACAGTACATGAGGGGGTGGGGCAGAATCTGTATTTTCTGTGACTCATAGCGAGGGCACAGACGTCCCTCTCACAGGGCCAATAGATGACTCACGTGGTTTCCAGATATACCTATGGAAAAGTCCGGAAACCCCTTCCTGGAAAGCCTTTTTGTTTTTGTTTTTCCCTTGCAGCCTGGCCAGCAGGGTCTGTTTCCTGATGAATTACACAAAGGGTACTCTTTTCCCATCCAGCCCACTGGTCCTCCAGGTACCAGGGCATCAGAAGAGCAGGCACTCACCTTGCTTCATTTTCTCCTTGAACAAAATCCCTTTGGCCTCACCACAGGTCACAGGAAGAGTAGGAGAGAGAAAATCCACAGTGTCATCATTGGACTTCCCTGGAAGTGTGAAAACAAACAGACTTGGATAAGTGAGGTGGCCAGGACTGAGAGATTATGTCACCTGCTGCCACTTTACACTTTATAGGGTCCCTGTGCAAACCGAAAAACAATAAAAAACAAACAAAAAACCTAACTCTGGGTGATTCTGGATGACTGTGCCAATTGCACCTGGAGAGACCTGGCAGCTCTGAACCACAGAACAGGCTTCTCAGGTTCAGATTCAAGAGAAACAATTGTGAAATTGAGTTTAAAAATAGCTGTTGATAGTTCCTGCTTCCTTCCCCATCCAACCTAGCTCTCCTGGGGAGAATTCATGCAGGGCTGTCTCCTGGGGACAGAGGAAAGTGCAGTAAACTTCGGTGTTGAGTTAGAGGTTAACAGTAAGATAACAGCATTGGGCTAACTCTCTCTCTCTCTCCTCTAATGCGTAGTAAAAGAGTAAAAGAATAAAACTGTCTATTTCCTTTCCCATTATAGGGAAAAGAATAGTGTTGATGTGAAGATGCTAATTACCGTTAATTACTTCGGAGAGATGCAGCCTGGAGAGCCACACTGTGGGAGAAGAGGCTCCTGGGAACTGAGGGCATGGATATCCCAAAGGACTCCAAAGGATGTTCAGCTTGGAGGAGCCAGACTGGCATCCAGGCTAGCATGCGGATAAAGGTGTGAAGTGGCCGCCCAAAGGTGTGAAGTGGCCGCCCACTTCCGTCTCTGGGCTCCTCTCAAACGTATACAGTGGATGAGAATCTAGAGCCAGCGGCAGACCTGGTCAGAGGCAGAATCTTGGCTCTGCACTTTCCAAGAAGGACCACTGATGTTGCAGTGGTGTTAACCAGTTTGAGTGGGAGACCGCAGCAGTCAGGTCTTAATTTGAGTGGGAAGCAGAGTTACAGGTAACCCCCAATTACTATTATAAACTCCTTCAGGTGGGGGGGGCAGGTTAGCACAGTATGGGATATTCCACGGTCCTCTGTCTCCATGGAAACATCTTTGCTAATTCCCTGTGGTAAGTATAGCTCTAAAGAAGACAGATGTCCTGAATATGCTTGCAACAGATCAAGGGGCAGTGGGGGCTTGGGGGTGCTGTGAGCATAAAGCTAGAGTACGGGGTCGGGCCATAAGCATCGCCCCTCACCTGTTGCAAGCACCCCTCATACTTCAAATGTGATGGGCCTTTAGTTGGAGGACTTCTAAAGCCTTGTACCCTACCCCTAAGGGCAGTTTGCTGGGGACTTCTCAGTGGTGCTGAGTTTGGCTTAGCCTCGTTTGCCGGTTTCAGCAAAAGGCCTTGAGTGATGGAACCCGAGGGAAGGCCTGTGTGGCCTTCAGCATCAGCCAGCCCCATTGTAAGGGAGCTGCTGCAGCTGGGTTAGAGCCTCGTTAGTGTGAGCAAACAAGCAGGGGTCTGCAAGGGAGCAATTAAAGAGAAAAACAATTTCCTGAAGTATTGAACCTCTGTGAAGGGAGCCTGATAGGGAAGGGGAGGAGTAATGGGCTGGAAAATAAAAACCCAATTAGCGACCCCAAGACCAGCTGCTGGAGGCTTCCAGAACACAAGGAGAAACACAAAGTAATGGCTACACCTGAGAAGATGAACTGTCCAGGGAAGATCGGCACACTTTGTGACCTGTGGACCAAGGGCCTGAGTGAGGGCGACGCGTGGCTGCAGAAGTCACAGGCGGATCAAGAACACCAAGAATTACAAATGGTGCTGGCATAACTGGGTACTGGTATGCAGAAGACTGCAGATAGATCCATGTTTATCGCCTTGTACAAAACTTAAGTCCAAATGGATCAAAGATCTCAACATACATCCAGCCACACTGAAACTTTTAGAAGAGAAAGTGGGAGATACTCTTCAACGAGTTGGTACAGGAGACCACTTCCTAAACATAACACCAGTGGCACAGGCACTGAGATCAACAATTAACAAATGGGACCTTCTGAAACTAAAAAGCTTCTGTAAGGCAAAGGACACAGTCAAAAAGACAAAAAGGCAGACCACAGAATGGGAAAAGATATTCACTAACCCTACATCTGACAGAGGGCTAATCTCCAAAATTTACAAAGAACTCAAGAAACAAGTCTCCAAAACACCAAAGGATCCACTTGAAAGGTGGGGTACAGAGCTAAATAGAGAATTCTCAGTAGAGGAGGCTAAAATGGCCAAGAGACACTTAAGAAAGTGCTCAACATCCTTAGCCATCAGGGAAATGCAAATCAAAACAACTCTGAGATACCATCTTACTCCTGTCAGAATGGCTAGAATCAAAAACACCGAAGACAATTTATGCTGGAGAGGATGTGGAGAGAGAGGAACACTCCTCCACTGCTGGTGGGAATGCCGACTCATACAGCCTCTTTGGAAATCAGTATGGAGATTCCTCAGGAAAATGGGAATTAATCTACCACTAGACCCAACAATTCCACTCTTAGGCATTTATCCAAATGAGGCAGGTTCATACAACAAGGGCATCTGCTCCACTATGTTCATAGCAGCATTGTTTGTAATAGCCAGAACCTGGAAGCAACCTAGATGCCCCTCAACTGAAGAGTGGATAGAGAAAATGTGGTACATTTACACAATGGAGTATTACTCAGCAGAAAAAAAACAATGGAATCTTGAAATTCGCAGGGAAATGGATAGCACTGGAAGAAACCATCCTGAGTGAGGTAACCCAGTCGCAAAAAGACAAACATGGTATGTACTCACTCATATATGGATTTTAGATATGGATCAGGATAGTGCCAGTCTGCACTTCCACAGATAGAGAGTCTGGGAAACAGGAAAGAACCTAAAAGATATGCATATATGCATAGTACCCAAGAGAAGAGGATGGAGACAAGATCCTTTGAATGGATGGGGAACACGGCGAGGGGTGGGAGGGAGTGGGACCCGGGAAGAATAGAGGGGGTAAAGAGGAAGGGAGTTGGTCATGGGGGAACAGGAAGTTGAGGGGGTGGGGGTAGAATAGGGGGAAGAGGGAATCATAGGATCGAAGACAGATCAGGCACCAGCGTGACCTCGAGTGATCCAAAGGTATAACATCAATTGGCAAGCTAAGCAACAGTGGAGGGACCACCTCAAATGCCCATTCCTGATAATGAACTTGATGTCTATAACCATCCGGGAGCCTTCATCCTGTGACTGATGGAAGCAGAGGCAAACACACAACTAATCACTGAACTGAACCCAAGGAACCCAGTGACAGAGAGAGAGGAGTGATGAGCAAATTGGCAAAGAATGGGCTGGCAAAACCAGCAGAGACAGCTGATCTGAACAGGGGAGTGCTCTTGGACCCCAGACCGACAGTGGGGAGGCCAGCATGGGACTGATCTGGACCCCCCAAATGTGAGTGTCAGCGAGAAGGCCTGGGCAACCTATGGGGCCCTGAGCTGTGGATCAGTGTCTATCCCTGGTATACAAACTGTCTTCATGTGCCTATAGCACAAAGAGAGATGCTCTCTCAGCCTGGACTCTTAGGGGAGTGCCTTGACCCTACCAAGAGTAAAATGACAGACTCTAGATATCCCCTATGTGGAAGGATTTGGCAATAGGGTGGGAGGGAGGGGGGGAAGGGGAGTGCGGGAAGAGGGGAGGGAGAGGGAACTGGGATTGACATGTAAAACAAGCTATTTAAAATTAAAATAAAAAATGATAAAAAAGAACACCAAGAATTGCATCCTTCATCCTCACAAGCCGGAAGGCAAGGGTAACCCATTTAACAGATGGGGCCGAGGCTCGGGTAAGAAGACTTGGTCAGTGACATGTGTCAGGGAGCTGGCCCCGGGATGCAGACGTGCCAGAGAGTGCTTGCTGTCATCTAACATGCCTCAGCAGGAGCCGCTGGCAGCTGACAGGGTGCTCGTGGCTACTATTAGGTTGCCCACGCTCCAGTGGCTGGTCCCACACCCAGCACATTGAAGATGGGAGGGGGAGCCGGGTCTGGGGGTCAGGGAAAGCTGTAGGAGGGAACAGGAGGTGGGCACGAACAAAGCACGTGACATACACGATGACGTTTTGAAAGAATAAATAAGAGTATCATTTTTAAACAGCTCAGCATGGTCTGGGTTCCTTGAGTGTTTCATAAAAAGAATTAAGAGGCATTTGGGACTGTTCACTTGCTCTTTCATTGTAAAGAACAAAGCATTCAGAAGCCTTTAGGTGGATTTTTAGCTCATTTGAGTCTTTTAGCTTTTAATTGAGTCCAATCTTGACGACCAAATGACTACATGAAGGGCAAGTACTTTGTCAATGTATCTACTTATCTTGTCCAGGCCTCTGCAGAAGTTCCCGGATAAATAATCCACTGTAGACTCAGTACAAGCATATTCCAGTAGAGGGCAGCATGGACCCAGATATAGCATCCCCATTGGGGCAGACTCCTTTTTGTTCTGATTTGTTAATTAAGTATAAACAGAGGCACAGAGGAGCAGAAAGCAAGATTGATCCACTCCCCGATTTTACGTGTTACTCACAGTACACAGACAACCAGTCACAACTCTGAAAGAGCCCAGAGGTAAAGCAAGACTGATTCACTCCCCGATCTCATGTGCTACTCAGAGTACACAGGAGGTACACAGACAACCAGTCACAACTCTGAAAGATCCAGGAGGGAAAGCTACAGGGTTTCCTGGGAACTTGTCATCCAGAGACCTATGCCCCTGCGTCTGGACAGATAATGGAGGCGATATTTATTTAAGATAATTTCTAAGAGTGCGGAGTAGAGATGGGGTAGGAAGATGGGATTTGTCTTGGTTTGTATGTGTGTGTGTGTGTATGTGACAGAGAGAGAGAGGGAGGGAGGGAGGGAAGGAGAGAGGGAGGGAGGGAGGGAGGGAGGGAGGGAGGGAGGGAGGGAGGGAGGGAGGGAGGGACACTGGCTGCATTCTGAGACCCACAGCGCCTCATCCTTTGCATCCATTACCTCTTGTGGCTTTTGGTGATAGGCTGAGCATCCTTTGAGGCCTCCTCCTTCCATTTGTTTCTGAAGCCCCATTGCTGATCTCTAGAGAAGAAGAAGGAAGAGGAGGAGAAGAAGAAAGATAGACTCCCTTGCATGTAAAAGCTCCATGAGGAGTCTCCTGACCCTGGAAGGGCCTTCATAGCTGAGGACATCGGTCGACAGGTCACCGCCTCCCGTGGGTGGGAAGGTGGGAAGTAAATATAAAATACTTCTTTCTCATCTCAAAATTCCTGTTGTCCCGAGAAGAATGTGTATGTGCCTGTGTCACTGGCTCACTATATAGCTCAGCACGTTCCAAATGTCTGAGACAGTATAAAATCTTACATGAGTAAGATTGGAGATGTAAGAAGGGAGCCAGGTGTGGTAGCACACGCTTCAATCCTGGTACTTGGTAGGCAGAGGCAGGTGTTTCTCTGTGAGTTTGAGGCCAGGCTAGTCTACATAGTGAGTTCTAGGCCAGCTAGGGTTACATTAAACAACAACAACAAAACCAAACAAAACTGTCCCCGAAAGGAGTAAGATGGCCAACACTTTTTGTTTGCTTTTGGGGCATATGTATGGGTCTTACTATGTAGCTCTGACTGGCCTGGAACTCAATATATAGACCAGGCTGACTTCCAAGAGATTAACCTTTAAGACATCTACTTGTCTCTGTCTCCCAAGTGCTGGGATTAAAGGCATGGGCTACCACACTCGGCTGGCATATTATATTTTATTGTAATAGAACTACAGTGACACGGATATGAAATCAGAGCCTACCCTGCTGCTAACCACTAAGAGTGACTGCGCTAGGGCTGGCTAAGAGCATGTGCTGCTCTTACAGAGGACTAGAGTTCAAGTCCAAGTACCCTCTGCAACTCTACTTCCAGGGCATCTGATGGTTCTGGCCTTCACTTGTGTCTATGTGCATGTTTATATACCCTCCTCATAATTAAAAATAAAATAAATCTTGAAGAAACTACCATTGTATGGTTGTTTACGTAGTGTTAGAGATGAGTGCCCAAAGATACCTTAACAGATTATTGTCAGGTTACCCAACCCTTCCAACTCCATGTCTCTATGAGGCTAGATTTCCCCTGTTCTCAGCCACAGCCACTCATAATATTGAATTCAGGAATAACTATAAGAATCTGTCTCTCATGAAGCCTGACATTACCAAGGTCTGTAAGAACATAGACTGACACCAATCTTCTAATTTTGTTTTTGCTTCAAAAATATTTTTGTTGTTGTTGTTTTTCCAGACAGTGTTTCTGTCCAGAAACTCTCTCTGTAGACCAGACTGGCCTCAAACCCAGAGATTCTCCTGCCTCTGTCTCCCCGAGTGCTGGGATTAAAGGTGTGAGCCACCATTGCCTGGCTCAGAAATTTATTTTTATACAGAGTTATATGACCAAACAAATTATTTCACTCTAAAGATTTTTAAATTACTAGTTTTAGCTCTGAATAATGTATAAATAGGCAGACCCAAACAACATAGACCCAGACCTTCGGAAGTTCTTAGTAATCTTTAAGGTTGTAAAATCTGAAGGGTTGAGACCCTCTGACTTAGGTCTCAGCTGAGGTGACCTGTGACTATGACCCTATGGCCTGTGGCTATGACTTTATGGCCTGTGGCTATGACTTTATGACCTGTGGCTATGACCTTATGGCCTGTGCCTATGACCTTATGACCTGTGGCTATGTCTAACAAAAACTCCTCCAGAGCCACAGTAGATCATTGCTTCTATGCCACTCTCACACCCCATCCTCATTATCTGAACTTCCCTCTCCTAATATTGAGTTCATGTACCTCCCCACCCCTGTGCCAGCTCTAAGAGACCCTGCCATACTGAGCCTTTCCAATGGCAGGTCCCATCCTCAGCCTTACCCTGTGATCTGGATGTCTGAGCACACTTAGTCCTTGCCTCCTGGGTCCTGGTTGAATCACTCTTCCACGGAGTCCTCTGACCCACCACTTTGAGCTTCCCTTGGACTCCATGTCCTGGTGAGGTCACCCCTGGGCCAAGAGAGACTCATGAATGGAGATCCTCAGTGTTAGTAATCAGGCATCTGTACTGGCCTGTCCTTGGGGTTCTGCCAGGATACACCCTCAGCTGCAGCCACTAATTCCCTTTTTTTTATAAGGGCCCTGCCCACATCCCATTTTTCTTTCTTGTTCTCTTTCTCTGCTTTTCTGCCTGTCTCTCTGTCTCCACCCCCTCTCTCCTCTCTCTTCTCTTCTTCCACTCCTGTCTCCAGAGGCCTGTCTCTCTTCTTCCCTCCCCCCTTTCCCATTCACTCCCCCTCAATAAAAAAAAAACCCTCCATCCAAGCTCTGTCCATGGCATCTTTCTCTGACTTGACGCTTTTAAAAATTACAACACCCAGTGAGCCTTTTCCTTCTTTCACGGACTTCCCTACCCATCCTACCCTCCTTTCCAGACCCTACCCACCCCCCACCCCCTCCATTGCGGCCCCTTCTTCGTGCCTCTCTTTGTTTTTATTGATTGCTCTGGAAGAACTAACCAGACAAATATGGGAGGATTTGGGGGGGATATGTTGCTTTCTTCTTCCTGTTTCTAAGACTGCTGAACCATGAGGTGGTCCCATCAGAGCAGAATGGCAAAGCCCTGGGATTCCTCAGGTGGGGAGGGAGGGCCTTCCATGTAGCACCCATGTGCAGAACAGACATCATCCAAAGGCCACCAGGCACCTCTTATGGGTAAAGTGTACAGAAGCACAGAAGGGACAGGCATAGTGCCTGCCATGAAGGTATCTCTCAGGAGTGTCACTGGGGCCCCGAGGCTCTGCGGTGTCAGGGCTGGTAGATCAGTGGGCTTCACTGAGGAGAGGGAGGACACATTGCTAGGATATTGGAAGCTGACACCCTCAAGGACAGCCACAGTGTACTAGCACAGGATGCCTCTCCAGAGTTCTACTCTTCTGGGGTTTGTCCCCGTGGTGGTTTGAAAGAAAATAACCCACAAAGGGATACTATTAGGAGGGTTGGCTGTTTTGGAGTAAGTATGGACATGTTGGAGGAAGTGTGTCACTGTGGGGATGGACTTTGAGGTTTCATATATGCTCAAACCATGCCCAGCATCTCAGACCAGTTTCTGTTGCCTGCATAGCAAGATGTAGGGATTCCCAGCTACTTCTCCAGCACCATGTCTGCCTGCAGGCCACCGTGTTGTGTCATGATGATAATGGACTAAATCTCTGGAAATGTAAGCCACCCTATTAAATGTTTTCCTTTGTAAGAGTTGGCTCGGTCATGGTGTCTCTTCACAGCAATAGAAACCCTAAGACTCTGCCTCTCAGGGCTAGGACCCAGGCTCTTTTCCTTTTTATCTCAAAGTAGCTGAGTTGTTTTACTCTCCCTTTAGTTCAGAAGGATGGCTGTCATCCTCATGAATATAAAGAGAAAACCTGGCACTCTCCGTCCTTCACCTTGGACTGTAACCTGCCATCAGAACAGAAGGGTTCCAGAATGCTCCAGTTCAGTTACTCAGTAGCAAAACTGGTCTGGTGAAATTTAAAACTAGATCACCACACTGCCCAGACAGTGCTCCTGCTGTGCCTTCTCAGTGAGTTCAGAGCAAACTCCACCCTTCACCAGATCTACAGCCCCCCAGAAGCCTACACCAGCCTCCCCATCTCACCTTGTGGGGGTCTTTTCTTCTGATGTCTTCTTTTGGGAGTTGACCAGATGCATCTTTTCTTTCTTTTTGCTAAGAAGAAAGGATACAAAGTCTTTTATAGTCACAAACATAGATTTGTTAATGGTTTTTATTTAAAAAATTAAATTATATTTTGTTCATTAATTGTGTGTGCATGTGTATATGCATTTGTATTTATGTGCATGTGTCCCTGTGTGTGCATGTGTATATATATATTTATGTGTGTGTACTTGTGTGTGCATGTGCATGTGTGTATACATGTGTGTCTTAACCCTGAACACCTTTCCAAGCTCACCCCTAACCTTTCAGAGGGTTAGCTGGAAAGGAGAGATCAGAGATTGAACTAGAAGGCGCAAACTTCAAAGATAAGTGTTAAAATGAGAATTTTTGTATTAGTTACTGGGGAATTAACCACGCTCGAATAACATTACAGCCTATAGATGGCTTTTGGGCATGAGGAACCAAGAATCTGTGAAGGAAAAAAATCACCAGATGTGAGGAGATAAAAACTTGAGCAGCTGGAATACTGGGTAGGTTGCCTGCTACCCATGATGCCTTGAAGGCACCCAGGACCATGGCAGGATCTGAGGTGAGAGAAAAGTAGGCTTGGGAGGTTTCCAGGCAGCAATGGGAAAGCCGATGGATGATTATGTCAGAGAGGTCACGGTGTTTACTATTATTACTATTGTTATCATTACTACTATTATTACATTTACTGGCAGTGGGGGGTTGGGCACATGTGCCATCGTACACATGTGGAGGTCAAGAGACAACTTGAATGAGTTGGTTCTGTTTCCCCACCTTACGGGTTTCAGGGATCAAATTCAGATCATCAGGCTTGGTGGCAGGCACCTCTAACCAATGAGTCATCTTGCTGGGCCAATAACAGCACACCTTCTAATTGAATGGTGGCACCTCAGAAAAGAAGCTGTGAGAGCAAGAGCGAGACAGGAAGTAGGTAGCCAGGTGGACATCCAACCTGCTTGCCACTATGAGGTCCAAATGAAGGATGGCAGAAGTTGCCTAAATGTGACCTACCAGGAAGCAGTGTCCTCCTGGGAGAGCAACTGTGGTTAAAGACACGCTAAGCAGTTGTGGATTCTTGTCATTCTGAGGGATGCTTGGTTCAATATGACTAAGTATGGGCTTGTTACCCATCATCTTCTCAGCCCTTTGAGGAAGGTGGAATGAAAAGAGGTTGCGGAAACACAGCAGTTGCGGGAACTGGTTGCGTCGTAGGTGCTAGGATGAGTCAGCTGGAAGAACAGAAAGCATCTCCAGGAAAGGATGTCTATACCTTTCTTGTTGGCAGGTGTGCTGGGTGCTTCCTGGGGCATCTGCAGGTCATTTGGTGCAGGAGGCTCATCTTTTACTGCTAGCAAAAGAAAAAGAACCCGTCTCAGAGCTCAGAATGCACTGAAGAGAAAATTCGAAGGGAAATCAGTAGAACTCGAATGGTAGGGAGTGAAGGCAGGGATCTGACAACTCACAGGGTTTTGTCTTCATCCAACCTTGTTATTATTTTTTAATTTTTTTTGTGTGTATGATGTTTTGCCTGCATATGTGTCTGGTGCCTACAAAGGCCAGAAGAGGGCGACAGATCCTTTGGGGCTGGAGTTACAGGTGGTTATGAGCTACCATGTAGGCGCTGGAATTGAACTCAGGTCCTCTGGAAGAGCAGCCCATGATTTTAGCCACTCAGTCACCTCCCCAACCCTGACCACCTTGTTGTTACCTATGCATCTGCTAACAGCAAATATATTTTGAAATTCTGCTAACTTTGATGCAGTAAGAAAAACAGAGGGACTTGAAACCGTTACAGTGGTTCATCTCCTTAAGGCTGTCCGTTGTTTACCCAACACTATGAAAATTGTCTTCAGTTCTGGCTTCTTTAAGGTCAGGTAGCTGAGGCACATTGTAAATTGTCTACAGACTTTTGAAGTAATTTCTTTTCATATCATTTTAATAACATAAATCCTTAGTATTCCATACTATGTAAAATTGACTAGCATCGAGGGACTGTTCCCACAGTCAGGGTGACGACAAGACTAGCCACACTAGTTGCATCACCCACTACTGGGGACACACAGGTTTTTGGTTGTCTGTCTAGCATTTTGTTAGGGCCATTTTGAGCCTTGCTTATTGCCGTGACTTCATCACAGCGACATGGTTACACAGTCCAGCCCTGCCTTGCCCTCTTCTCTCCTGGAGGCCACCACAGTCCCTTGTGGCTTATGAATCTTCTCTGTTTGCTAATACCTTATGCATTTTAGAGTCTAGCAGGGACTTTCTGACCTCTGTGATTGGATCCTCCATGTCTCCCTTTCCAGTCCTGCCTCCTTGCCCTCCCCAACTCTCCCTCCCTTCAGGAGCACAGGTCTCCTGCCTCCCTAAGCACCCAAGCAGAGGTAAGTTTAAACTATCTCAATCAAAACTACTAAGAGTTAAGTCAGTCTTAACCAGAATTACCTTGCACAGAGCCAAGGGTACCGGGAGGCTGCCCTCCTGAGTCTTCTTCCTCCTTAGCCTTGGATGTTAAGTTGTCCTTGACCACTGAAGGAGGAAGGGAGATCTTGAGTTACCAGATATGGCTGTCAGGGAGGGGAGTGGATAGTGAGAATGCCCAGAAAAGGATGTATACTAAGGCCAAGGAAGATTACCTGGCATGGAGCCCGAGGGATTGGGGGATATCTCTAGAGAGTCATCTTTATCATTTCTCGGGGGATCCCTGGAGGACTCTGAGCAGAGGGAAGAAAAAAGAATTGAAGCTTTCAGGATGAGCAAGTAGGGACCAGAGTGATAAAGAGAACAAATGTGATTCTAACTACCCAGCGAGGAACACAAGTGGCCTGGGTAAAATAGGATAGAGACAACAGCTAACAGTCACTTACTCTTAATTAGCAACTCATTAGTTTAATAACAGTATTTACTCTTTTTTTTTAAAAGTGGAAGATGAAACCTTCTGATTGTCTTTAGCTTTCTGATTATGTTAAATGTATTTGAGTGGCATGTATCCGAGGAGTAGAAGAAATGTCACTGAGTTCAAACAGGACTCCTTTATTCTCAGTCCTGGAGAGCAAGGAATCCATAATAATGTATCTTTGGCAAGGTCAGTAACACATCCTGCTACAGTAAATGTAACTAAACTTTATTATAATACTAATGATGGTTTGAGGAAGGCAAGTGACGTAAGTCTGGAAGCTAAATTAGGTCCAACAGACCTTTAAAATTCTTATAATACTTTCTAATAATCCTAATAACATATGTCTTGAAATCTAATCCATCTAAGAATAAATAAGGAAGATTGGGGTGTTGGTTAGTGTTTGTCCAGCATGCAAGAAGCCCTGGGCTCTACTCTTAACACACTATGAAATAAAAAAGGAATGAATAAGGCTGAAACTCAAAGGCTTCTGTAGTCAGGGGAGAATCACCACTATAAGTCTATGTGTCAATTTGGAACAAGAAGTGGGGTTCATCCTCGAGGTGAGTGATCCTCCACTGAGCTACACCCCCAGACACACATTTTTGAAGGTTTCCTTTGCAGTGTGAGTCTGTGGCAAGCCCCCCACTTCTTCTCTCCCCATCTATTCTCATGCCTATCTATTTCTCCTGAGGTTCCAACCACAGCCTTCCATTTGGCATGTGTACACTCTCCCTCCACAGCCCAGTTAGTATTACTTTGCATGGTGTCAGGGGAAGTGCTGGGCATCCTTTCCGAGTCTTCTTCCTTATCAGTTGTAGCTGTAAGGAGGAAGGAAAACCATGGATTACAGAACTGGCTATGAGGAGGAGAGTGAATGGCCTAAAGTAACAGTTCTCAACCCGTGGATTTCCATCCCTTTGCCAAACCTCCATCTCCAAATTTATAATTTGTTACAGTAGCAAAATTACAGATATGAAGTAGCGATGAAAACAATTTTATGATTGAGCATGACCACAACAGGAGGAACTGTATTAAAGGGTCACACCATTATGAAGGTTAAGAACCATTGCCCGAAAAGGTCAGAGAATGTGAAGTACCAAGGTCAAGCAAGGCCAGAGGTTGGGGTGTCCAGGTGTAGGAAGAAGGTGTTTCTGGGATCTGAGTCTCCCTGGCCACTGGCAATGCTTGTGATTTTCTTAGAAAGGGTTGTGTGTGGGTAGGTGGGTGCAGAGAAAGGAACAGATGAACAGCAGGCAGCAATTGGGGGCTCTAAGTGGCAGGGAGCAAGCATTCCTAGTGAGAGAGATCTGTTGAAGGAGAGATATCTGTTTCTTGCCTAGAGTGGTCTTTCCTTTCTGAATGAAGCCAGGGGGAGGCGCAGCTGTGTGAGAAGGGCTGGGCTGCTCATCCAGGATCTCAGTGATTTGCTGTGAGGCTGCTCCAGGCTCAAAGACTCTTGGTGCAGAGGACAGACGACTTGGTAGAGATGGTTGGGTCGACGGCAGCAGAGTCCGGAAGGAGTGCCCTTCTGCTAGGTCAGTTGGGACTTGGAGTAGGGACTGAGCAGTTCTCTTATTCCCTTCATAGGCAGTAACGACTGGAATTAGCAAATGAGCACACGTCATGACCCTGGAGATTCAGAAGACATCTGGCAAATAGAATTGCTAAGTGCACCTATTTTACCCACAGCACAGGAGGAAGAGTTACTGACTTCCCCCAGATGCACAGAAAAGGTTCCTCATCACAGTGTCCATTTGTGGTTGCTTTTGATTTTTATTTCATTTGGATAAGTTTAGTCACTGATACCAAAAGTGAGTTGGCCATCTAGAAACCTACTACTGTGGAAGCTCCCTAAAACATACACATATATAAATGGAATTTAAATGAAGTTACCATATAATGGGGAGACAATGCCCTGTTAAGATACTGCATGCTACCAAATAAAACTCATTGGCCAAGGGCATGCCAGAGGTTCCCTGGTCACCAAACACTATAGGCCATTGCCAATGCTATTGGTTACTCTCTATGACCTGCTGGTAAGACCCTACTGCTGAACGAACCATATACTTATGTCATCTAAAATGGAGAAATCAAGATGGTGCTCAGCTAGAAGCTTCATCCCCACTGACCAGTTTCCATAGTGCTGGAGAAGGGTCTATGCATCAGTCTCACCCAGCTAGGGATGCTGTGACTACAACAGTGAGCTACAGTACTGTGGTTTACCATACTCGCTGGAGCAGGAGCGGCACAAACATTATGGGAGTGACCAACCACCTTGTATCATGTGAAGGGGGAAGCCCCACCTCAAACCTAGAGTTTTTGAGGTGGGAAGATCCACCTTCAGTCTGGGACACCCCTTCTGCTGGCAGCTTCTATAAAGAACATGGAAGAAGGAAGCTTGCTCTCTTTGCCTTCTTGTTCTTGCTGGCAAGTCCATTCCTTCATTGGCATTAGAGACTACTTCTTTGGGATTCCAGTGCATACTGAAGACCAGTTGAGATACCCAGCTGGTATCCTGTACTGAACAACTACTGGATTCTTGGACATTCCGTTGGTGGGACTGCCATTGTTGGACTAGCTGGACAACAGCCTGTAAACCATTCTAATAAACCCTCTTCCTTTATATAGATTCACCCTATCACTTCTGTTCCTCTAGAGAACCCTAATACATCCACAGATCAGTGCACCACTGAATCCTCATCAGAGAACCTTTTTCTTGCAGTTGATGGGAATTAACACGGAGCTCACCATCTGCACAACATTCAGAGAGTGAGAGGTGTCTTAGTTAGGATTTCTATTGCTGTAACAGAACATCATGACCAAAAATCAAGCCGGAGAGGAAAGGGTTTACTAGGCTTACACTTCAGCATTGCTTTTCATCACTGAAGGAAGTCAGGACAGGAACTCAAATGGGGCAGGATCCCGGAGGAAGGGGCTTTTGTGAGTGTGATTTACCTTTACACACAAAAAGCAGGCATTGGAATGAATATTCCCACACTGGAGATAAACCTAGGGTTTTAGCGTAGCAGCACTGTACACGTAAAATGTATTAGAGAAACCACATTACCGTTTTTGAAGCTTCTGAAAATTGCCACCAGGCTGGGGTATTCGCGTAGGTTGACCTGGCTGAACAGCGTCAGGAGCAGTGACACATCGAAAGTCCGCTCCAGACTGGTGAGAACATTGTGCACCACTTTGGATAGAGGGACCAGATTTTGACAGGCTTGCCGAGATTCCTTCAAAGAGCGGAGCAAGGATTAGTGTGAGCGATTCTTTGCTGAGCTGAGAGCTCTGTGTCTGTGCTTTTCTAAGCTGTGAGAAAGCTGCTTTTGGGCTGCTAAGGATGGCTACGTGAGTAGGTGCTGGCCATGAAGGCTGGTGACACAAGTCTGATTCCCAGGATCCAGAGGGCAGAAGGAGAGAACCCCAGCTGCACATGGTGCACTCGCCCACCTCCGCCCCCAAACAAATAAATGACTGTAAGTAAAAAAAAGTAAGAAGTCAGGCTTGGTGACGTATGCCTTTAATCCCAGGTAGACTGGCAGTCAGATCTCTAATGTTTTCTATTTGAGGCCAGCCTGGTCTACAAGGTGAGGTCCAGAACAGCCAGGGCTACACAGAGAAACCCTGTCTCACAAAACAAAACAATAAGATTTAATATTTTTTTAATTTAAGAGGAAACAATATAAAATGTAGCGTTGAATCCTCAAAACAGAAGACACAGGAGGGGAGGACTGATTGCAAAAATCTTCCAGTGAGTGTCTTCCAGGCTTGGTGAGCTAGTCCTTGGGTACTCACCACCAGATGGACATGATGAGGGGACATATGGGGGTCTTGCCCTGGTGGGGATGCCCAGGTGAGGGCACTGCCCAGGTGAGGGCACTGCCTCGGTAGAGGCTCTGCTCAGGTGGAAGAGGAGGGCATCCAACCCTAACCAGAAATTCAGTAGAGCCCATCACAACTGAGAACAGGGTTGTAAAGGAAAACACGGGAATCTTAGACGGATTGGTGGGTACCCTCCTGAGCAACACAGCGTGGGCTATCATCTGATGAAGGAGCTGAAGCTGTGAGAGCCGCTGCTGTAATTTTCCTGAACCCAGAATTCAAAACTACTTAAAAATACCAAAATTGCATAAAGCTCACCAAGTCTGTACACACAGCCGTGTCCTCCAGGGCCTGCCTTACATTATAATGAACTGGGGAGCCTGTGAGATGATACATCAGGTGAAAGCATCTGCTGAGTTCAATCCCTGGGAGCCACGTGGCAGAATGAGAGAATCAGCTCCCACGAGTTATCCTCAGGCCTCCACACATGTACCATGGCACATGTGTACAACACACTCTCAGTCATATACCCACACCACAGAAACATGTAATTATTTTTAGCATGGCCCATGTTCTTATACATTAGGATAATGCCTGTGCTGGGTTGAGCAGCATCCTCATGCCAAACAAGATACATTCTTTGGGGCTCGAGAGTGGGAACTTCTTTGGAGAAGGGTCTTTGCAGATGTAGCTGAGGATGCTGAGACTATCCTGGATCAGAGCAGTCCCTAAACACAGGTGGCCCCATCAGAGGAAGGAAGAGAAGACGATGCAGAGATTGGAAGAGACCACAGTGAAGGGCTAGCCTACAAGTCCCGAAGCTGCTTGCTGCCACCAGAAGCTAGAGGCCAGAAATGGATCCATTTCTGAGCTTCTAGAAAAAGTCAATTCATCAATACCTCAATTTGGGTCTTCTGGCCTCCAACTTCTGAATTCTGATTTGTGGTCCTTTTCTATGGTAACACCTACAATATGCCCTGTCACTAATACAGCCCCATGACACCCTTTCTCCCAACCATCTCCCTGCTGCAATAATGATCACAGTCAAGTTGGGTCTTCCATGTTCTAGAAACCCTGGTCAGTTGTGGTCCTAGATCTCAATAGTGGAGCATACTTATTGGGGGAATGAAGGGTCCCCAAGCCTCACCGTGTACATTTTCTCAGTGATGAAGGAGTTGTCCCGGAGGGCTTCGAAGAAGGGGAACGGCTTGTTGATGGCATAGGCAATGTCCAGCTTTGTGTACGTGAAGTGCTGGAGAAGCGCCTCTTCCAAGGCCTTGGACATAGAGATCATCCTAGGGAAAGAGGCAGGCTGAGGAGACAGAGGCAAAGGCTACCAGGAGCATGGGGACTTGCTCTTGTTGCAATGGGCACTTGAAGACACCCTAGTCCTCAAGCATCCCTTAGCAGTCTACAGACCCAAGTCTGGCTTAAAGACCTGTAGATACAGCACACAAAGGCAGTGCCTAGTAACCACAGTGGCTGAGGGTCAGACAATAGTGTACCACCATCCTGAAAGGGATTTTGAAAATATCCATTATTCACCGAGTGGTTCCTATGTCTAGCCTTTGTTCTGAGGATTTCATAGGTAATACTGAGTTCACAAAGTATTGCACGATAGTCACTGTCATTACAACTATGTAACCGTGGAGAACTCGAATGCAGACAGAGGTGGGATAACCCTCATGCTAGATTATACAGTGTGGAAGAGGCAGAGTAGGTATCAAATCCTGACTGTCTGGTTGCTGGTCTGCAGTTAGCTACATGGAGCAGGGTTGGAACAGATCACCCACACTTCAGCCTAGTCCATCTAGTGGCAACGCTCATGAGAAAAGGGATCACCAAAAGTGGGGAGCTAGAAACCTGATAACATTCAGACACTGAAAAATAACACATTTTGACACAAACAGGCAACACAAAATCAGGAAGGATGTGAAAAATAGGATTGGTTAAAGTGATGTCACTGTTTGGATTTATGAAGCCATTTCATTCTTCAGGACAGACCTGTGCCTTTCCCCACACCTGTAGGATGTTCATAAAAATCCACCACTCCCAGAGTGTGAGAAAACAACCAGTCAGTTGAAAAAGGATGAAAACTTCCAGGTGACAGTCTTGGCAAAGTGTTGTGACAGTTGCTATCCTCTAGGGGGCGCTTTTGTTGTTGTACGACAATACTGAGGATTGAGCCCTTGGGCATCTTTAGTAAGTGCCCTATTAAAGTTTTTCTTTTTAAACACAAAGCACACAATGATTCCCTCCTTTCATCTTTTGTTAAATAGAATAGTAAACTGTAATTAGTGTGTATTTCCAGGAATTTAATCCCAGTGGCAAATTAAGCAGTCCTGTTCATTTCTACTAATTTCTAAATTCCTTATCTTTGGCAGGAGAAAATTTGAGGAAAGAGGGAGAAGGACAAGGAGAACCAGCAGCAGCATGAGGAGGAGGAGGCGGAGGAGGAGGAGGAGGAGGAGGAGGGAAAGAAGAAGAAGAAGAAGGAGGAGGAGGAGGAGGAGGAGGAGGAGGAGGAGGAGGAGAACTCACAGCAGTATTGTATGAGCTATTGGCAGTCCTCAGTCCTGAGGAAATCCTGGCAGCTGAGGACAGGTAGGAGAGAAAGTTGTTGACTAAAGTCACGTGCGTGCGTGCGTACGTGCGTGCGTGCGTGCGTGTGTGTGTGTGTGTGTATGTGTGTGTGTGTGCCTGTATGTGTGCGTGCATGTGTGCGTGTGTGTGTGTGTATGCATGCGTGTGTGCGTGCATGTGTGTGTATGTGTGTGTGCCTGTATGTGTGCGTGCATGTGTGCGTGTGTGTGTGTATGCATGCGTGTGTGCGTGCATGTGTGTGTATGTGTGTGTGCCTGTATGTGTGCGTGCATGCGTGCGTGTGTGTGTGTGTGTGTGTGTGTGTGTGTGTGTGTGTGTGTGTGTGTGTGTGTGTTGGGGGACCAGAATGGACACATTCTCTGGGCTCTGTTTAGGATGACTTACTCTATAGAAGCATTCAGACTGAGACAATGACAGCATTCTCATTCATCACATACCACGGTTTCCAGAGGATGAAAACCAGACCCCAAAGGGGATAAGTAACCAAGCCCGAGGAAACCAATGGCACGGCAGAGTCTGACGCTAATATTTTGTTTCTCACTGTACAAGATGCTGTATCTCAAGCCTGAAAAAATGACTCATAATCTCTGTGAGCTTGGGCCTGGCCTGGTCTACTTAGTAAGTTCCAGGACAGCCAGAGATGCATAGTGAAACTCTTGAAGTAAAAACAGGAAAAAAAAAAAAAAAAGATACTGCATCTCACAGATCCCTGCATTTGGGTTTTTATTATGTTAAGGGGTCTTACTGATAAATTAGGAAAAGGCAGACACCCAGTAGGAAAGACAAAGCCCAAATGTGAGCAATCAAATTAAGCTGCATACACAAAAATGCATTAAAATTAATTAAGTGGGAGGAGCCAGAAAAGTGGGAACGGCTTGACAGTGCATATTCATGTCAAAGTGACCTACAGAGAAAACAGTAGCGACCATCCCTGATGATGGTAGAAAGGTAAACCAGCTCAAGTGTTCCGTGCCTCATTTGGTAATCACTGTCAAGAGCCCTAAAATACGAATCCATTTGTCACGCACAGGAATGTATTCCAAGGAAACGAACATGAATATACCAACAACAACAAAAACAAATCTCATGACATACTACAGAGAAGTAAGGACGCTCCTCACTTTTTCTTTCTCATTAGTTGCAGATTTAGGCAAATGCCTGTGGGAAGGCACTGCCCACCAGGATCCAGCCTCGGGAGCACGCACAGGACACTATCCCCAACAGCCTTTAACTTTTAGAAGAGGAACTGCACTCTCCTCCATCCCCCTTATCCTAGGTCCTAGGCACCCTCCCCGCATCTCTGGAAAACACTTGTTTACCAAGGGAGAGCCTGGGGACCCCTAAGGTCCAGCAGATAAAAGCCCATCCCCAAGAATGAAGAGTTCAGCGCTGTGGAGCCCAAGAGCAGAACGCACCTGGATGGCGGGCGGGCTGTCACCCAGGTTCCCTGACGAGACCAGGGATCATTTAAGGAGATCCTGGACCCTGCCTGGAGATGCCTTCCGGGTCCAGTCGGGAAATCCCGGTGCCCAGGCCGCGCCGCGTCAGTTTTCCAGAAAAGAAAACCGAAAGTGATCTCAGCACACAGAGCAGGAAGCCCGACTGCGCCCAGCGCACTTCTTCCCTCCTCCCCCATCTGGCGAGGCTCCTCAGGGCGGTTAGTTTGGGTTGCTGAGGCGCTGCTGCGAATCCAGATTCTTCTGGAGTGGAGTGACAGGCTGGGGAGGCTAAGAACCAGCGCCAGAGAAGATGGGAAGGGGGTTTCCACTGTCTCCTTCTCAACCTGTCTCTATTTCTCTAGTGGCCCCGCTCTATCGTTTTTGGAGGACTGAAATGCTCTCAAACTGGGTTGTGGTGAAGGGTATACTGAATAAATTTGCTAGAAATTGTCAAATTAAAACTTCAGCAATAACACTAATCAGAGCTGACATGTTTGACATGCCTTGAACTGGTCGGGGAAAACTGTAGGAGGAAAATTGAAGTAAAAGACAAGCAAGTGAATCCCCCTTTCCCCCACGCAGGTGAAGACTGACAAACAGGTGCTGCACAGTCCTTTGAAGATCCCAAACGAGCCTGAACTGAGAGTTCAGTGTAACCAATATTTTCCAAATGTATTGACCCACGAAGAACTCCCTCCCAGGACATGAAGACTCTGAGGCTTTAGGTTTGAACCAAGGCAAGCCCACACAGGAGAGAGCCCCTCTGCACTTCCTAAGAAGGCACCAACAGTAACATTCCAGCCAAGTACAGTCAAGCAGCAGGCTTGACCCAGACTGTCCCTGGAATGGGGACTGCTGGGAGGAGGGGAACAAGGCAAGTCCAAGTTAATGCAGGGTGTGTGTGTGTGTGTGTGTGTGTGATGTGTGTGTGTGTATGTGAGCATGCTCGTGTGTCAGAAAAATCTCCCACTCCAAGGCACCTTTAAAGCAGGAAAAACTATTAAATCAGACAGATGTGAATCAGAACAAAAGATGCTATTCTACAGCAAACATACTCAAGAATACAGTAATTGTGGCAAAGCCTCCCCTGTTAATTCACACCAAGGGAGAGCCCAGTAAGATTATACATTTTAGCACAGTTTTATAGATATGTAAAATGCATTCATCTAAAGTGATGATTTTGGTGAATTCCACCAAATATAATCATGCCACAATGAAGACATGGACCTCCCCTCCCCCCAAGAAAAGAAATCCCCCTGTTCCTGGCAAAGAAAACCCCTCCTGAATTCCAGTTCCAGGCAGCCACAGATTGGCTGTTGGTATGAAAGTGTCACGTAAATAGTGAAATGTACTTTTTGCTGTGCCGTTTCCTTTGCTCACCACTGTTCTCTGGGGACCCGCTGCTGCAGGCCAGTCATTTTCCTCTTTGGCAGAGCTCTGGGCCTGGAACTCTGCACAGGCCTTCGGCCCTGTCCTCCGTGTCTTTGATGCCATGCTTTGCTTGCATTCCCAGTCTCACGTTTGTTGTTTGTCTTATTTGCATTTTTACTCCTGTTCCTTTACCTTTCCTCTTCACGCTTGTTTTCTCTTGTGCAGAATGAGGGTTAGGTATAAGTGAAAAAGTTGTGCAGGATAAATGTAATGCACCGATCCTCCAGAACTGTACTGTCTTTGACGACTATAGCCCTGACTAGAAACCCCTTCCCCATCCTCCAAGAAATCTCTTGCTCTCAAGACCTCACTGAGATCGCTGAAGCCCTTTGTTGCTTAGCTGTCAAGGGCACACTTGTTCAACCTGTTCTGCCTAGACTCTCTGCACTTGCCCTTGGCTGGAGGAGGCAGGGGAGAGTTTTTTCTTGCTTCTGGCTTCATTCAGAAGCTCCAAGCCCTTTAGGAGACCACACCTTCTGACGTTTCCTAGTCTGGGCCCCAACTATCAGGTCCGACTTCTCCAGCTCTGGCTCTCTAGGGTTCTGGGACAGCCACCAGTCTGAGAGATTGTGGACAACCTACTCTCCCTTTGTCCTTCCAGGCACCACCCCGGCCACTTCCTTCCTATACTCGGCAGCCACCTCTCCCCAGACAGCTCTGAGTCCTTGGCTGAAACAGACTCTTCCACCTTTCCTTGGAGTGAACCAGGGGTCCCAGGTTTCTAGGGACTTGGGCTGCCTTTGTTCCTCCCCTCTGGGGCAGAGACTGGGTGGAGGCAGGATGGGGGGAGGAGGAGGGAGGGAGGGTACCTGTAGGACATGCCCGGTGAGAGGAGGGGGGACCCGAACAGTGAAGCCAAGTCACAGCTGAGCAATTTCACTTTCTGTTTCCTTGGGTTTGGAGGCCCTCAAGGAGTTCTTGCTGAGCTTCCCCTGCTCAGAGGTGGGTGCACTCTGCTCTGAGCCAAGTTGAAGGGCACCCTCGGTGCTGTGTAGGGGATGACAGGAGAGACCGATGAATCTAGAAGCAAGTAAGTCCTTTCTCCTCTCCTCTTCCTGTGCCCCTGCTAAGATCAATGTTTATATGTGCTACCAGGGTCGCCCAAGCCGGGTTCACAGTCCACAGGTATGCAAGACAATGAGATCACAGGGAATTAAGAACCTGGAAAAGCAGTTTTCACTGTCGTAGGCTAACTGTTGCAGTCCTATGGTCACCCCAACTCACCCCACTTCGTTTCCTTGCTCCTGTCACATAGCTGGGCTTCCTGGGAGCTCCTGTAGGAGTGACTGGTTCATGGGATTCTGACCTCTCATCTCTCCTTAATTATCATTTTAAAACACAACTCTGTCCAAAAATCATCATTTAGAAAAAGTTCAAACCTGATTGTGTCTGTCATCAACCTTTTCTCAGTCTGCAGTTGGGAACAGTTGAGCTGTGAGCCCACCTGTGTGGCTTAGGTCAGCTCAGGAGTTTGATCACTCCAAGGAAGGAAGGGAGAGGCAAATGAAGACCAATGACTAATGGAAGCAGGCGGCCAGTGGGTGCTGCCTTTGACCTTCCTCCTTCCTCCCTCCCTCCCTTCCTCCCTCCCTTCCTTCCTTCCTCCCTTCCTTCCTTCCTCCTTCCTTCCTTCCTTCCTCCCTTCCTCCCTTCCTTCCTTCCTCCCTCCCTTCCTCCCTTCCTTCCTTCTTCCCTCCCTTCCTCCCTTCCTTCCTTCCATCCTTCCTTCCTCCTCCCTCCCTCCCTTCCTTCCTTCCTCCTCCCTCCCTTCCTTCCTCCCTCCCTTCCTTCCTTCCTCCTTCTTTCCTTCCTTCCTTCCTCCCTCCCTCCCTCCCTTCCTTCCTCCCTTCCTCCCTTCCTTCCTCCTCCCTCCCTTCCTTCCTCCCTTCCTTCCTTCCTCCTCCCTCCCTTCCTTCCTCCCTCCCTTCCTTCCTTCCTTCCTTCCTTCCTTCCTTCCTTCCTTCCTCCTCCCTTCCTTCCTTTTCCCTCCCTTCCTCCCTTCCTTCCTTCCTCCTCCCTCCCTTCCTTCCTCCCTCCCTTCCTTCCTTCCTCCTTCTTTCCTTCCTTCCTCCCTTCCTTCTTTTCTTTCTTTATCTGTGCTGGTTACATAGCTGATTAGAAATGGTTTGAAATTTTCTTACACACACACACACTCAGCGGGAGGGACTGGAGAGATGGCCCAATGGTTAAGAGTTCACAATACTCTACTAGTGAGCTTGGGTTGGGTCCCCAGCACCCATCGTGGGGCTACCAACTCTAGGAGATCAGACATCCCCTGATCTCCTCAGTCAAGGCTACTTCTGGTCCAGCAGAAGTCCTAAGAAAGCATCATTTCTCTGGTGAAATTCGGTCAAATCCGCTAGAGATACCAACAACCTGCTGTCTCTTTTGGGAGTGGGGTGGCATTAATTAGAAGCTCAATTTTTTTAATACAAGTCTGTTCAGTTAATCTGTCTCTCAGAGCGTGAGTTTTGGTAGCTTCTGTTTTTTTTTTTAAAACATTTGGTCATTTTTGTTACTGTTATCAAATCTGCAGATCTAGGGATGGCTGCTCTATTTGGTCTTTGCTGTCCTTTCAATGTTGGAGGAATTCATAGCTCATGTTTTTTTTGTTTATTTTTCCTTGTTAGCCTGACTAGAGGTATAATAATAAAAAAGATAAAGATAGTAACTTTATTGCTCTTTCCAAAAGAGTAGTTTTTGGTATGAGATATAATCACACCTCTTTGGTCTAAGTATAATGCCAACTTAATTTTATGGATTTCTACTTAAATTTTTATTGCATCATTTGTTTTCATTGGAATAAAATTGCTTTTCTTATTTTTCCTGATTCCAGAAGATTTTCATATAGACCTCTCTCAGCTTCTTATATATATATATATATATATATATATATATATATATATATATATATATTAACGCTATTAGCGCTATACATTTCCCCCTAACCACTGCCTTTGTTGTATCTCAGCTTTATATACATATATATTAACTTCAGGGCTTTATAGTGCAGGAGAAAGGGCCACATTTTTACCTGTCTTTACCCATAGTTATTTTTTTATTTTTAAAATTACGTTTATTTATTGTATGTGTGCGAGTGCCACAGTGAGTATGTTGAGGTCAGAGAAGAACTTTTCTGGAGTTGGTTCTCTCCTTCCACTATGTAGGTCTTGGGGACCAAACATAGATCCTCCGTCAGACTTGTTTGCATGGCCACTATAATATTTTCTAAAATAAAAATAAAGGAGAGGATGTAATCTTGCTTTATCTTCTTGCAAATGCCTTTACTCTGCTGCTTAGGCAAAGTCACCAGACTCCCCTGTTTACCTCTCTGCTGTGATGCCACAGCCCAGGGAACCTCTGAGAATCCTATTGAACACTTTTGGGAGGAGGAAAGAGATAAAGGGCAAACGGCATCTCAGCATTAGCCTGAAAATAGTTTGTCCTCAGTGACAACTGGAAAAGTCTTGAACAGTGCCAGGGTTCCTCAGACTACATCCTGAGAGCCACCATTGTCAATCATTTAGCATTTAGGTGACATTTTAAGTGCCTAAAAAAAAAGTGGCAGTAACAGTTGATGTGCTGGTGTGGATGGGGGAGATCTCTTAAGCCCCACCCCTAGATGAAGAGCTATAGGCAATTAGTGGCTGTTGAGAAGGGGAGACTCAGCCAGTATTCTAATTCTGTTAGGTTATCCAGTCCCTAGTGGTCAGCCCTAAACATGTATGCATAGGAGCAACTCTAAATGAACTCAGCAGATTCTATCTATCTATCTATCTATCTATCTATCTATCTATCTATCTATCATCTACATCATCATCTATCTCTATATATGTAGAGAGATATATGTATATATTACATAAATATATATGTAATAATAATTAAAGAAGCTATTTGAGGGGGGATGGGAAAAGAAAGCATGGGGGAACTTTAGGGGAAAAGTGAGGAGTGGAAATGATGTAAATACAGTATTCATGTATGAAATTTTCAAAAACACAAAATTCTAAAGTAAGCAATAGGTAAAAAGAAAAATGTGCCCCATTCTAAGTTTTTTTTAGTTTTATTTTTAACTAATTATTTAGGTTAGCGTACAAAATAATGTGTCTCAAGTCATCTTCATACATACGTATCCTATTTTTGCTTGTCCGCTCCCGCACTTGCGGGAGTTGGTTCTCTGCTTCTACCCGGTGGGTCCCAGGATTGAACTCAGGTCATTAAACCAGAGGGCAAGCACTTTTATGCACTGAACCATCTCACCAGCCCTACTGCCATTTACTTTGTAGTAGAAATTTGCTGGTACTGATTTCTTGTTTTTCAATTATTTGAGACAGGGGCTTGCTATATAGCTCAGGCCAGCCTTGAAGTCACTAGGTAAGGGCTAACAAAATGCCTCAGTGGGTAAAGGTGCTTCCTGGGCAAGCCAGGCAACCTGAGTTTGATGCCTAGAACTCAGCGAAGGGTGGAAGGAGAGAACCAACTCCACAAAGTTGTCCTCTCACCTCTACGTGTGCTAATACTCTAACAGTACGAATACTAAGTAAAATTAAAAAGAAAGTAAATCACTATGTAAGCCACGATGGCCCTTCTGCTTCAGCTTCCAGGATGCCATGACTCCAGACAGTTGTGCTATGCCCAGCTTTCTTGCTTCTGTCATTGTGCTATATATCATAATTTGTTTCTATTTGTCTGCCAGAATGGAGTCAGTAACATGAACAAACAACTCCCATGTCTCTTTGGGGTTCTGAGCCTTTCTTCCGTAAAGGATGCTCTTCCTGGACTCTGTCTCTGGGTAGAGAGCAGTGGCTACCTGAGATGTCAGGCCTGGCAGCGGAGGACAGCATGGTTAGAAAGTGCTGGTTCTGAGCTGCTAAAGAGACCCATCCCTGTAAGGAGGTGGGGATCGGGAGAGAAGAAAGTATGGGGAGCAATGGAGGAAGAGATGTGCAGTGTGTGTGTGTGTGTGTGTGTGTGTGTGTGTGTGTGTGTGTGTGTGTGTGCAGGTGTGTAGGTGTGTAGAATGTTTTCTGAGTCCTGAATCAAGTACTTACCAATTTTGCCTTCACACATGAATTGGAAGAAGAGGGTGGTTTTTTGTTTGTTTGTTTGTTATTGTTGTTTTGTTATTCCGTTTACCCAATAGTCTATAGATTGTGTTCCAGTTTCATTCCTTTTGCTGTGATAACACACTGTGACATAAAGTGACGGGAGAGAAAGAACTTGTTAGATCACGGGTCCAGGTTACAGTCACCAAAGGGAAGTCTAGCAGGAACTTGAGCAGCTGGTCATATCCAGTCAAGAGCAGGGAGACGTGAACGCAAGAGTGCCTGTCAGTGCTCAACTTGTTCCCTGCACTTAATGCTGCCCAGGATCCCCTACCTAGGAACTGGTGCTGCCCACAGTAGGCTGGATATCACCATATCAATTAGCATAATGAAGACACCCGTAGACAGATGTACCCATAGACCACCTTAATCTAGACAGTCCTATAAGACTCACACAATCCCAGATGATTTTAGAGTACACCAGGTTAACAATTAAAACTGATCATCACGTTGGTCATGGTAGAGCATGATTTGAATCCCAGCACTCAAGAGAGGCAGGTGAATCTCTGAGGTTAGCCTGATCTACATAGCAAGCTCTAGACAAGCCAGACTTACAGGCTGTCTCAAACAAACAAAACCCAAAGCATCACAACTTGCACCACTATTTTAGATGTTTAAAGTTTCAATTTTACTTTAAAAATCTCCTTTTAGTGGACCATCCTTCATGCCAGCAATTACCCAGCCATTGGTAGCCTCTTGTAAGCTGGTTTATGCTTCTACATGGAATCTATCCCTTAGTTCAACCACTGAGGACAGTGTGTGTGAAGAGGAGTTGGCAGACTATCGGCTCATGTTCAAGTGCTTCAAAGAAAATAAGGTAGAAATCGCAAGCGCCATCACAAAGTCCTTTCCTTTCCTTATGAGTCTCCGAGACCTCGACTTCATCTCTGAGCAGAAGTTCCAGGTGAGTGAGGAGAATGAACTCAGCCCTGGCAGTAAGCCTGGCCCATGCCATATTACGCTGAACCTCTGGATGCAGCCAACAGGCTGAAGGGCCTCCAGGGAGGAGGGACCTTCCCTTCTTGGAAGTCAGAGGTGACAGGAGAAGCGGGGATCACAGGGAACATTCGTATCCATCTCTGCTGTAACCGAGGCTGAGGTACATGGTGACAGAGGATGGATAGGGAGTGGGAAAGATCAAAGGGCAGAGCAGCCCAGGTTAACTTGTGCAGTAAACATCAGAAGCTAGAATGTGAGTGGACACGTCCAAGCAGGGCTTCCTTACAAAGCCTACTTATTCCAAATCCTGGAGCCTGAGGAAGCCGGGCCGTGGTGGAGCAGGCCTTCAATCCCAGCACTAAGGGAGACAGAGGCAGGTGGATCTCTGTGAGTTCAAGACCAGACTGGTTTACAGAGTGAATTCCAGGACAGCCAGGGCTATGCAGAGAAACTCTGTCTGAAAAAAAAAACAAAAACAAAAACAAAAAGGAAGGAAGGGAGGAAGGGAGGGAAGGAGAGAGGGAGGGAGGGAGGGAGGGAGGGAGGGAGGGAAGGAGGAAGGGAAGGAGGAAGGAGAAAAGAAAGCCACAGGCAGTTGGGTCACGTGAGGCTGGAACCGGAAGTCGTGCTTGCTTCTCTCCTAATCGTTCCTTGTTTCTTGGGCACAGCTGTGGCCCTAGAATGTAGTGCAGGTCGGTGATGGGGTCCCCTGGGAATGATGGAGACAAATCTCCTCTTCTCTGTGCATTTTCTCTGCCCTGTGGCCAGGATGCTCACTTGGTTGCCTTGAGCCCTGCTGACCTGGTCAGTCTCTGGGGAGTTACTGTCTGGTCCCCAGACAGCATCTCATGGCCTGTCAGGGCCACCGTGGAGCATCTTGGCTTAGAGACACATCATTTGATCATTCTTTAGAATACTCTTTCCTGTCAACTGTGTGTCAGCATCAGAGATGCTCTCGGACAAGCATGGGTCTGTCATTATAGAGAGGACATGTGAGATGTCACCTGATATGTGCAAAACTCAGACACTTCACAAGCAATCATATGGTGCTTGAACTGCTCTAAGCCTCTCTTAAAACCCATAAATCCATTGTGACATAATTCTTCACTCAATATTTTTAAGGAATCTCAAGGAAGTTGTGGGAGCCTGATCCCAGTGGACAGAGTGGTGTATGACATCCTCTGTGACCTGCAGAAAAACTTTAGCCTGTGGCTTCTAGAACTGATCTTCAGCCCAAGGCATCTAAAGGCCTACCCAGACTTAAAGGAGATTCTAAGTATCTTCCTAGATGGTAACTATAGCTCTGACCTGCTTCCGGGAATTCAAGACTATTTCATTCATCCATTTAATCACTCACTCTCTTTTACAGTGATACCTGGCATATAATTTATTGAGGGACTGTGACATGCTAAGCATAGGGGTAATGTAGGAAATTGGGAGCTCAGGAAATTGGGAGCTCACATGTAGGCCAAGTAACACAGAAGTAAGTAAGTGTTTAGCCCAGACCCGAGTCTCATGCTATGAATCACACTGCGAATGGTGAGTTTTCTTAAGAGGAGCAGGCTCTCTGATACTTGCAGACATGGCCAACAATCAAAATATGTTCCTTGTATCAGAAAATGCATCATTCAGTAGAGTCCTACATCAACTTTCTTCTCTGAGAACAGAGAAATCACAAGGGAAGCCCAGCATGGACCCAGGCACCAGAGAGGGCAGCATGTGTCAACTTATCGTATGAAAAGAGGGTGGGCTGTTACAACCAAGGGCTGGCATGCAGCAGGAACGTGAAGTCAGCAGGTCCTGGGTAGAGAACAATCTCTGCAGCTCCTGCTGGTCCCCTGTGGCCTCGTCCTTGCAGCTCCACTACCTCTAAAGCCTTTCCCTTCCAGAAGGTGCACCCTCCTCAGACTTCTTGTGAAGAACGTGTCTACATTTCTGGGGTGTCTCTTCCTTTTCCCTCAGGTCCTCTGGATCTTGTCTCTCCATTTGTATCACTTTATCACTTGGTCACCTTGATGTGCAGCTCTGAAGGTCAGAGTCAGTGTTTCACGCCTCTCTTGCCACCTGAGGGTCCTTGGTAGCCACTTCCTGGATTGCCTTTCAGAAGGCAGTTTTCCATTTAACCCCACCCATCCTGCCTGGGGGAGCACTGCTTCCTCTTCAGGACTGTATTTCTCTGTAACCAGAAAGTCCTCCATTCCCTCCCTCCCTCTTGTGTCTCTCCAAAACTTTCTCCTACAGAAGTCCCTTGTGTAGGCTTCAAAGGACGCTGTAACGATAATCGGCACTTACTGGAAGTAAAACTAAGTATTTATTGTAGAAATTACTCACAAGATACCAAACAAGTAACCCAGATGAGACAAGCAGTTTTCCGCTCGAACCGGAAGCCAAACTCCGGGAAAAGAGACCGAGACTTCCTGTGTGCTGTCTTTTATACCTTCCCCCCCCCCCCCCCCCGTATCGCCCCCTAGCCATGCCCGAAAGTCCAGCTGTATACGTCTTAAGTCCTGCCTAAAGTGGGTGTGGTTAGCGGTGTGGTAAACTGCCCTTTTATTACCTCATCTGTATGCGCCTCTAATAAGTCACATGTTTAATGGCGGCATCAGACTTCCTCCTACACCCTTGACTTTCCTGTCAGAGCCGTGCTGCTTATAAACGTTTTCTACCTTTGCTTTAATCGACCTTGGCTTTCACCGTCCTCTGACAGTTTTGAGGAGCTACCCCCCCCCCCAACTGCCTGTCTGTCTCTAACTTTCCAGGGTACCAGAAGCGATAGAAGGTTGCACAGAAACACCATGTGCACCTGGATGTGTAATTGTGAGACACAGTTTAGTTCACAGTTGACATCCCTAATTGCTTTTTTCCCTTTCTCACTGGTTCATGTCTACTTCTATTACGGGCTCTGCAAGGAAACAGCAGCCCAGCTGAGGTTCAGCACCCTCTCAAGCCTGTTGAGCAGGCGAGTTACAGCTTGCCAAACCTTGTTTTCCCATTGAGTGGTTACTCAAGTAGTTTCTGCAAATTGATTCATTTATCTCCACAAGCTTGCAAATTGAGAGGGACAAATTCTGCTTCATTCCATTTTATATGTTAAGGAAGTGCATAGACATGTGTGACTTCGTCAGGCCAAAGTCAAGCAGGAGCAAAAGCTGGCCTTCCTCAGGACACACTGTGGTGATGTTATCTGAGGCTGGCAGAAGGCCAGGGTGACCAGGAGCACTGAACAGGTTCTCACGAGAGCCCTCAGGGGCACGAGGAGTGTGGTGAGCCTGATACAAAGGAAAACAAGAGAGAGGTAATAGAATTGGAGCCTGTTCCATGGAGGTAAGAGCTCTAGAGTCAAAGGAAACTCAGAGACACAAGTAGGATGAGCTAAAGAGCATTGAGATCAACAAGGAACACAAGGACTAAGGCATGTGAGATGCTTTCTGTTGCAGAAGAACAACATTGGGGATCAAAAGATGAGAAGAAAATGATAGGGGTGAGCAGAGAGAAAAGGGACAGAGCTCAGCTCTGGGTGAATGGGAATGAGTACCTCAGATGAGGTGAAGTGATTCACCTGTGTGCTGAGGACCAGAACTCGTTAAAAGTGCTTGGAGGTCTCTGCCTCTCATCACTGTCTGATTCGGTCGTTGTCATGTTTCTTTTCAGTTTCCAACAATCACAGACTCTTCAGAGGATAAATGGAAGATATACTGAAGAGAGGCCCATATTGCCAACAGTTGTTAGGGAAGGTGATTATGTTCTTAGATTACAAATTACCTCACTGATACTGTTTTCCTCTCTTTACCCTTCTCTCCTCATCATTCACACACACACACACACACACACACACACACACACTTTTGTTCAGCTTGTGGATGCTGTCCCCAGTGGGAGAGAGAAAAAGGTACCGAGTCACTAGCCAAAACCAACTTCTGGCTTAAGGTGAATGCATTAACTGTGAGTTTTCAGATTGGGACGTCCCAACTTTTAAAGTGATTTTGGAAACATGCAAGGGTGATCAGTCTCTCCCAGGCATTCTTATCTGCTCCAGTCTGTGAGTTAATGATACCCAAACATGAACCCTCAGACTTGCCTGTCAGCCTCCTCAACTGCAGGCCTGAATGTCTTCATGTAGCTGTCTCAGAGACTCCTATCCAGAGGTTTTTCAAGAACTTCAGTGTGAGATGCTTGCAAAGTTGCATGTGATATCTGTCTGGACAGCAGACCTGCCTCCTCTGCTGGTGTCTCTGTCTCAGCATGGGCCACTATTTCTCCATTCTCAAGCAGGGTTGTTACTGACTGCCCCTTCCTGGTGTAAATCACCCCTGTCCGTTTTCTCATTTTCCAGCAGAAACACCAAATCAGATCTCTTGTTCCTCTTGTTCTTATTTTATGTGTATGAGTGCTTTACCGGCATCTATGTATCTATCTATCTATCTATCTATCTATCTATCTATCTATCTATCTATCTATGTATCTATCTATGTATCTATCTATATCATCTACCTACCTATCTGTCTACCTACGTATCTATATGTACCACATATTTGATTTATGTCCAAATAGGTCAGAAGAAGGTGTCAAATCCCTTGAACTTGAAATTGCAGACAGTCGTGAGCTTCTGTGTGGCACTGGGAATCGATCCTGAGTCTCCCGGAAGAGCAGCAGGCCCTCTTAACCACTGAACCATCTTTCCAGACACTCCCCACCACCACCACATCAGATCTCTTGTTTCACCTTACCACTACAGAAACAGCCGTTAATCTCAGCTGCCATTGCTCATTCAGTTCCATCAAATTCATTCTCTCCAACTCAATGAGACAACCAGACATGCATTGGACACACCTTGCTCTCCCTTTTAGTTCAACAGCGTCCTGCCATCATAAGGACTGAGTCCATTTTCCTCCCTAGAGTTTCCAACTTCCTGACTGCCTTTATTGCTCTCTTCAAGAGAATAGTTTGTATATAACTTTCTTAATTATTTTGATTCCCTGGTTCTTCTTGGATCCTTTGTCTTTTGTGTGAGACAGGGAGAAGTACTTGTGACTCCAGTTTGGAATAACCTGATTCTTATGGGTAGAATATGTGGATTCTTTATTTTTTATTTTTAAATTATTTTTTATTTAAATTGAAAACAGTCTTATTTTACATACCAATCACAGTTCCCTCTCCCTCCTGTCCTCACATTCCCCCCATCCCCCATCCCACCCCCTTCCACTCCTCAGGGTGTGTATGTGGATTCTTTATTCATATTGAAGCAGTAATTAGTGGGGAAAGACAGTGTCTTGCTCTTCTCGCTATCTGTGTTACACGGTCCATGTTGTCATTTTTATCCCTTGCACTCATTTTCTTACATTCCCCGAGCTTCCTGATTCTGCCTGAGCAAACTGAATCCCCTCTGCATGGTTTGTTGCATCTTTGTTTCTCTTCAGCATCCTGTCGTCCCAGAGATTCTCCAATGAATGGTGAACTGGCAGAGGAGGTGCCTAGCCTACCACTTGCAATGGAGGAGGTGGGTAAGCCTTCATTTGCCAGTCAGCTAGTGAATCTGCAAGAGAGGACGTCCTCCCACTTAACCTGTTCTCTATATTCTCCGAGAGAAGAAATCATAGAGGCAGCAACAAGGATCAGAAATAAAGGGGACTAAGATGGGCAGAGAGGGAACAGATGGGTGGCCAATGTTCTGACTCTGGTGACAGAGAAGGAGTGATGTCAGCCTCCCCTTCAGAGTCCCAGAACAGAAACACTCATTCCAGGAGACACTCAGACACTTCCTGAGGCCACTGGGTCCATTGTTCTTTTCTACAGAGGGAAGTGGTTCTCATGAACAAATGTCTGATGGACAAGAGCCCCAGGATGACTTATCCTCATCACCACTGAGATGCGAAACAGGTGAGTGAGGGGAGTGCTGTGGGGTCTGCAGGGTTCCGGGGGCTGAGTTCTGAACCTGTCGTGCTTGCCCCGCGCACGTGATGATGTTCACGCCCTGGCTACTGTTCTTCATATTCTCTCATGGTATTCTGGGGAAATTCAGGGAGGGAAAAGTCTTGAGAAACATCATGAAGGAATATTACTTGCAGTTAACTGCTCAAAGCCACTTAAGCCATCATATGTTGAACCCAGAGGACAATTTCTTGCTCTCATTTCTCAGTCTCCATGGAAATCAGGAAGCTTATAATTTACATGCAGGTTGATTGTTTTTGTTGTGTTTTTCACAAACTTGCTAAAATGCTCAAAGAGGGCTGGAGAGATGGCTCAGCTGTTAAGGGCTAGGCTCACTAAAAAATATAAAGTACTCAATGAGGAAGTATTGTATCATCTGACTGATGTAATTTGATGAAACCCAAAGCTATATGATCAATATATTTCATGTTATTTGGACTATACACTCTTCCTACATTCTTTGATACATGTGTTACTCCTTTATTCTTAAAACTCTTAAGACTTACCAAGGGGGAATAGTTACAGTTTTAATTCTTTAGAAACACACAAGTGAATAAGTTGCTGGTAGGTTTCAGGACTTGACAAGGACAAGGATATCAGAGGTCAAGTTTCTGGATGGTTCCACCTGGGCTCTAGGTTCAGTGAGGCTGGTGGTTAGGTACCCAAGATCTGAATCCAAAGTGTAAGTTCAAGGTTCTTTGGCTACTCAGGTGAACCTGCAGGGGTCAAGTGGAAAGACGTTCTATTTGGTGAACAGGTACGCTTAGGGAGAGCGGAAGGAAAACCACAGCAGAGGATTAGAAAGTGTGTGAATGTGTTACATGAGATAGGGGAGCCCCAGACGAATCAAGCTAGAAAATATGAACACACAGGCAATGCAAATGCAGTGCATACCGCAGAGATGAAGGCAGATGATGAAGAGTACAGTAAAGGACAGGGAGAGAAAGCCCAGAGCGCTAGTAAGAGGCACAGAGATTTTCCCAAGCAGCACTGAAAGTGGAGCTGTTAGGAGAAGTAGCTAGCACCTGATATCAACCAAGTTCTTTAACCAAGGAACAGCTATGCTTGTGAGTCCTATTCTCTCAGAGTGAACACTTGTATTGTAGAGCATATGTGCAAGCATTGAACTTAGCAACTGATAAATGTTCATAAGTGGCTGGTGGGGGACTAATTTATTTCTAGTGGGCGAGTAGAGTGTGGCTGTATAGACTGATGCCTGCCAGGAGCATGGCAATAGGACTGGTTGGTTGGCTTGTACAAGCCCATTTGCTGGATTCACAATTAGGATTATTCTGGTTGCCTCCTTTTTAAATGGTCAAAGAATAATGCATCTCCCTAGGAGTATAGGAACCTTTAAAAAGTTCTTCTCCTTTTAAAAAATTACATGTGTGCATGTGTGTCTAAGTGTGCTTTTGTGCGTGTGCATGTGAGGAACTCCCAGAGACCAGAAGAGCGTGTCATACCCAGAGCTAGAGCTACAGGTGGTTGTAATCCACCTGCTATTGGTCCTGGGAACCAAACTACTGTCCTCAGGAAAAGCACCATGAGCTCTTCACTGCTGAGCTATCACTCTAGCTCCGGTACAGGAACTTTCAATTCCTAGTTTCTCCCTTATCAAGTCCATCATTTGAAGCTTGCAAGAGAGTATGTATTGTCCATATTGAAAATATCTTCTCTGTAAGCAGACAATGAGTACAAGATCCTGAGTCCACTTCACTGAGTAAGAGTTGTAGATCAGTGGTTTGAAAGAATTGTGTCTGTGGATGGAGATAGAAAGGAGAAGTTAAGTTTTTTAGCTGGATGTTGGTGGCACACGCCTTTAATCCCAGCACTTGGGAAGCAGAGACAGGCAGATCTCTGTGAGTTTGAGGCCAACCTGGTCTACAGTGTGAGTTCCAGGACAGCCTCGAAAACAATACAGAGAAACCTTGTCTTAAAACCCTCCCCAAAAAGATTTTTTAAAATTTATTGCCTTAAAATACTTTTTTCATAAAGTATCTTTTGATATTATTCTTTCCTCTTTCCCAACCCATCCTAAATCTTCTCTATATCCTACACTTCGTGTTCTTTCCTCCTCCCTCCCTCCCTCCCTTCCTCCCTCCTTCCTCTCTTCTCTGTGTATGTATATGTGTGCATGCCTTGTTTAAAAAACAAACAAACAAGACAAAAAAATCCCAAAGGAAACAAAAGAAGCACACACACAAACCGTGAAGTTTCTGTTAGTCAACTATTACTGAGCATGGGGCCTGGCCTGGATTATGGTTGGTTTATCCAGTGGTGCTGTGTTGGAGAAAACAACATTGCTGCTGTGTATGCCATACTTTATGACTTGATGGGTCTAATAGCATATAGCTCATGATGGGCAGTTCAGGTCTCATGGTTACTTGGTGGCCTATTGTCAAATGTTCAGTTTCCATGAAGGTCCAATAGCAGGCCAAGAGCTATCTCTCAAAAGGAGAATAGTTGTCTGCAAATAATGGTAGAGCCTTACTCCACAATCCCAAAGGTCTCTTCTGTGATCTATCTGTAGAGGCTGCCAAAGACCCCAAATGGCATCCCTATCTGCCACTGACACATCAAGTACCATAAAATCTGCTCCATCATAGAACCCAAGTGGTAGAGCACCCTGCACAGCAGCTAGGACCTGTTGAAGACCCTTCTCCTGTTTCTGGCCCCACACAAAGCTAGTGTCATTCCAAGTCACTGGGCCTGTGAGAGAGAGTAACACACCTAAGTGAGGAATGTGCTGTCTCAAGAATCCAAATAGACTCATTAAACATTGGGCTTCTCTCTTGGTGGTGGGAGGGACCAGGTGCAATAACTTACACTTCACCTTAGAAGGAGTATCTCTGCATTGCCCACACCTCTAGCTTCCTAAGGATTTCACTGAGAGAGAATGTCCTTGAAATTCGGCTGGATTTATTTCCCATCCTCTGACACTCATATGATACCAGTGAGTTCAAAGTAGTTGCTACCTCCTCCTCACTTGGTCCAGTCACCATATGTTGTTAACATCACTCCTTACAGGGAACCAATGTGATAACTCTGCCAACTTCTATCCCAATTATACATCTGGAACCTGAGAACTAACCACAGCATATGTTCGGGGACCTACTGTGAGTCAGACACCAGCCAAAACTCCATTAATCACCTGGCCTCCTTAAGCCCCTACTTTAACTTTAACAATGTTTCTTGTGGTCTCCCAGAATTAGTATCAATTCAGAACCAGTATCCAATGGACCCAGGAAAGTCTGATTGTCCTTCCCCCTCAGCGTACAGTTGCCCTTGTAAAAGGCCATAGGTCCCTCTGAGGAAGAACAGGACAAAGGTTAACTGTAAACTTTTAGGTGTCTTATCAGGATTCTTCCTCGAGGGAACCTGGCTACTCTTTCATTCAAGGGATTCTGGGAGTACAAACTGGATCATCTGGAGACTGATTCACTAGCCAGGATTACCTTTTGACATGATCCAATGTAGCCTCTCTTTTATTTGTTTGAGAATTTTTCCACTTAAAGAGGTCAAAGAGAAAAGCAGTAGGTTTCTTATCTACTTCATATCTGGAAATACCATGATTGATTAGCCAAAGGCCCATAGGAATCATGTCACTATAACATTCATGTTGTCTGTGCTGACCATTACAGGTTATGCCATTACAAATATTGTTTGGTCTACACTTCCCGTTAAGATAGCCATGGTCACCTGGTGATAGTCTCCGTTGAGTCAATGCTGTGAACTGGTCCAATTAAACCCATTGCATTTATTTCCTCCAATTAAGCAGCAGCGTCTCCAACCCTAAGATCTGGCACAAGCTAAAGGGCAACAACAAAACTCTTCAAATGTGCTGGAGCCCCTCTCATGAATTTGCATGTTATAGGACTCATGAGAGGCATGCCTTCTGGGCCTTCGCATTGTGGAGGATCACGTTTTTCACAGAGCACTCACTCTAGTTTACAGTCTTCCTGAGCCTTCTTTTAATAAACGCTTCAGCCAATCATTCAAACAAACTTTTCACACCATTTTTTTAAACTGTGTGAGCTTCCATATTAAACCTAGAATCTCCACTCAGAGAACTCATATCAGTAAAACTCAGTCAGATCTACCTTTATGTTCCTTCCACCATCATCCCACACCCTTATTTCCATTCCCACATGTATTCCCGGGACCTCTGCTTGAATGAATTAGCAAACTCATTAAGCTCCTTTGTAGTGTAGTGACTTCCTCATGGACTACACTCTCTACCTTCCCTCTAGGAGCCCGATTTGCCTTGAGTCTGATTCTGGGTCTAGAGGGAACCATTGGTGGGCCTTGAGGGACGTCAGCATTGTCTTGTCTGGCATTTCCTTCAGAGAAAGTCACTGCTGGTTTACCAGACACTGAAGGATTCGTTTCTGCAGGGAAAGGTGAAAGGGCATGTGGAAGGGGTGGGGCTGAGGGCTCTACTTCCTCAGGTGAGACAAACCCTTGAGAATCTAGGGCTCAAAGTTCTCAGCCTCAATAGGGTCCCACACACCCCCACCCCATGTTATAAGATCCCATTCTGTAGCAATTAACACCCTTACTTTACCTGCTGACGGCCTGAGGCTGAGACTTGAACTTTCCCTGTAATGTAGGCTACTTTATAATGAGGTCTTCAGTTTGATCGTCCACAACTCTGTGGCTGAAGAGAAAAGACTCTCTTCCAGGGCACACTTAGAAACCTTCACACTGTTTATTCACAGCTGGAGCCGGTCCGTTTTAAGTTCAGTGTTGTCCTTCCCCGTATTGTGAAGTTGGTTAATTTTACCACGCAGCTCCTTCCTATCCTTGGATTAGTTTAGCGAGTGATAAGAGCAATCACCCAGCAGCCTGCTTTTCCTTATCTTCCCTCAAACTGTCAAAAGTTTCATACATAGGGTCACCAAGTCCTTTGCTATTCACAGTTGATTAATAAAGATAATCGAAGGCATTTA